ACTATAACCTCAGATGCAGACATTGTGAAATTCTCATTTGCTGATGGAGGACTACATCATACCTTTTCATGAATCTTGTGCACCAGCTGGCACTAGCCTTTAACTCTGAAATACCATCTTTCTTCGATTCTGAGGGTGTAAAGTTGGATAGTTATGCAGGAGATATAACGACCTTTCTCCTGATGCTCTTTAACCCATTTTTCCACTTCGTTCTCCAGTTTAAACTGCGCTTCCTCGAAAGCATTATGATTGATCATCTGGTACACAATTAGTCTCATTAATTGATTGAGAGATTGTTGCTGGAATTAGCAGAGGGAAAATCTAAAGGTTCATACCCATGCCTTTAATCATCATAAGTCATTAATAACAACAAATCTCCTTTGATCCCTGAGAACTTGCGACTTACTTTTATACAAAGCATAGACAGAAATGGGTTTTTTTTTGAGACTAAAAGTCAGAGGGTCAGCTTTTACACTAGCATATACGGTAGCCTGTATTTCCAGCACTTCCAAGTTATACTTCAGATTCATATTTATTTGAAATATTATGTGTAACTCAGTGATTTTTGATTATCCCATCCTTTGTTGTAGTATTAAAATGCCTACTTTTGTGAGGCTACAAGATTTATCTGTCCTCAAAATGACAGTTACAGAATATACAACTCATTCCTAATTTCATTAAAGTTCAATATAAAATTTAAGGTCAACTTGAATTTTACAAAATTTAAACAGTGATACAAGAATACTAGTATATAAAATAACTGTCCTTTCACCTTTTCCAGTCGGCCAGTTGTATAGATCTCCAAATCAAAAAACAGTGGTAACTGTAAAAGGTTCGTCACTTTCTCTGCGTCAACAGCATACTGCTCAAAATGGGGAAGGGGAGGGGTTTGAAGAGAGTAGACAATAAATTTTCATATCCAAATAACTAATTCAACTAATGTCCAACAAAATAAAGTTGAACATAAAGCATTAAAGCAGTACAAAAAAGTAACAAATGCCTATAACAGTGTTTTCGCACATAAAAAGTCAGGGTCCTTTACTTAGGACATCAAGCCTTGGTTCAGTGACAGCATTCTCATCTTGCGACACAGAAGGATGTGGATTCATTTCTCAGACTCGAGTACAGAATCTCAACTGATAATTCAGCACAACACCAAGGAAGTATTGTCCTTCCAAGATGTTATCTGATAGATCAAGAAATTTAATTCCCACCTGCCTGCACTATTCAAACACAAGATGGGGAGTTATCCTGGTACACAATCCAGCATTTATCCTTCAAACAGCATTGGTAATTATCGTTATGGGATCTTGCTGTAATTCTCTATATAACAATAATGATTATATTGCAAAAGTAATTAATTGCCCATGAAGCATTTTGGGGTATCTTGAGGTTGTGAAACATTCCACATAAATGCAACTTCTTTTGTTCCTTCTTTTAAGATAAATAACTCAGTACTCAGAATTTCCTCTCTTCAGAAGGAATTATTTGGATCAGAGAACACTATGAACAATATTGCTGATGATCAGAAACAAATTGATTTTGTTTTTTTGTGAAGAATGGTTTGAGGACAGAAGTGCAAGATTCAGATTAACATGCTAAAGAAATGAAAAAGGCCACAGCTTGAGTCTCTAAATGCAAACGGCATTCAAAAAATAAAATCAACTCACTGATTTTTTATTATGCAGAAAACCTACTGCAAAAAAATGTAGACAGCAAACCAAAAATACTTCTCCAATGAAAGAAAGAAAACTGGAAGATCAATCACCCCAGGATACATGCGCATTTCTTACCTTGTCAAAAGCCAACAGTAAGAAGCGTCTAGCTTTTTACTTCTACACTTTAGCAGCAGCATGGTGTAAAGCACAGAGAAACTAGGTAGACTAATAGAAACATAGAACACAGAAAATGGAAGGAGTAGGCCATTAAACCCTTTGAGCCTGCCCTAGCATTCAGTATGACCATGGTTGATCATCCAACTCACTCCCCTGTTCCCACTTTCTTTCCATATCCTTTGATCCCTTTAGCCCTAAAACTACATCTACCTCACGCTTGAAACCATTCTATGTTTTGGGCCTTCACAGCTTTCTGTGGGAGAGAATTTCACACACTCATCACTCGGGATAATGAAGTTTCTCATCTTAGTTCTAAACAGCCTACCTGTGTCGTCAAACTGTTACCCCTGGTTCTGGAATCCCTGGTCTTTGGGAACATCCTTCCTGCATTTATACTGTCCAGTTCTGTTAGAATTTTATCAGTTTTTATGAGATCCCTGTTCATTCTTCAAAACTCCAGTGAATACAGACCTAACTGATCTGGTCTCTCTTCATATGTCAGTCCTGCCGTCACAGGAATTTTTTTTAATACTTCTAGGCATTTTAGGTCCATTTCTTTCTGCTGTTGTTTGGAAATTTGTCAACTGATGAATTTATCTGTGATTCAATCTTGTCTGTCAATTTATAAACATCACAGAAATTAGAGATAGAAGACAACCATTCAGCCATCTACCCACTGATAATAACTAGAACTTTTAAACTTGAATTCAATTTTCCTGTCCTTTTCACCGGGATGGCTGTAGGTTGTTCAGCATCTCAAACCTATACTGCCCTGATTGATGATTGTCAATATACTCACCATGATTCTATAACCCTCAGTAATTTTGGCCTCAACAAAGTTGATCAATCTCAGTTTTGAAATTTTCAACTGACTTAGTCTCAACTGATTTTTGGGCAAAGGAAATGAAGTTACGATTTTAAGATTCTGCCCCTTTGTTCTGTACTATCCCATAACAGAAAACCATTTGTCCCTATCTGCCCTAGCAACTCCTTTTATCATTTCAAACAGCTCAAATCGATAATCTCTTAATCTTGTAAATTTAAGGAAAAATACATCTGGTTTATGTATTATGTCCCCATATTCAGATCTGGCATAATTCTGGTGAATCTTTGTTGCACCACATTCAAGATTAACATCACCTGCGTGTGATGCAGGACCTAGAACTAAAAGCAGTAATTCAAAATGATCGAACCACAAATTGTACAGCTGTAACATCACCAACATCGCTTAGTATTTTAACATTTTTGACATACAGAAAAACATCTGGCAGCATCAATTTTCTTGATATATCTATCAAAAAGCTTTTCATCACTTCTGGACTAGGACCTCAAAAATCTTTGTTCATCCAGTGGCTAGCTTATCATTCGAAAGATATTCATGATCTATTTTTCTTGGTCTTCTATAACAAGTACGGTGCATGAAAGAGAATAATACTTTAAAAGAAAAACACCAATTTGCAGTGCACTTTGTGAAATTTTGATTAGCTTTGCATTGGTCTAATAAACCTGGGTGGGGGGGCGTAGTTACAAGGGTATTAAATCTGGAGTACGTGTGGCTCTTATGTACTTGTGAAGACCATATGTTTATTTCCAGATTGCAATGAAGGCGTGGAAATATATTAAAATTAGAGTACCTTTGCCAAGAGCTGTGGAAGGACAGCTGAAAATTGTTCCGTAATTCTGGTCCGATCATCCAACTGAGTTTTTTTCTCTTTTGCAGTCAATACCTGTCGTTGCAAAATGCAGACATCAGTTGTGCAAATATATACATTCTTGCAGTACACACTTTACCTGCTCCCCTCTTGGAATTTCCCCCATCTTTCCTCAAAGCTACAAATCCCTAAAAATGTACAAAAGATGAAAGAAGGTGCAAAAAAATTGTTTGGAAACAAAAATGCATTTCTCTTAATTTCTCACTGCAGACTTCTATGCAACTAGTTGTCGCACATTTAATGTACATGGATAGAAAAATCCCCTGTTCCAGAAATACTTCTGTTTGAGCATTTTCCAGGATCAAAGGTTTTCACACTTTGTTAAAGTTTTGTTCAGTGCAAAATAAGGTAAACGAACAACATGCTTGTTTGCTACAAAACACTAAACAGCATTCAGCAGCCGTGAATAAAATCAAAATATTCTGTAAAGTACAACAAATACTATGCTAATAAATAAATAAGTTCCCTTATCCTTATAAAATAAAGGATGTAGCATAATTTACATTACAAATTTGAATAACAAACAACAACTTGCATTTACATAAAACTTTAATGAGAACGAAAATGCACTATGGTTCTTAACAGGAAAATTACCACACATATCTCAATACCAAACAAAGAGGTATTAGAATAGCTGAGTCTTGGTCAAAGTTTGGTCAAAGAAGAACACATGTTGACTGACAAGGGAAGAGACAAAGGCAAAGAGGTAATTTATGAATCACAGCTGCCAGCGGTGAAGTTACGTATTGAAATTGGGAGAAGTCGAGAGGGCAGAATTGGAAAGGATTAACAGGACTGGAGGAGATAAAGAGCTGCAAGGCTACATAATGGATTTGAAAATAGTGGTGGGAAGTTTGAAATTGAGGACCTGCTTAAGCGGGTGTCAAGGTAGGTTACTGAAGACAAGGGTGATAGGTGAGTAGAACATCAGTGAGAATTTGGACATGTGCAGCAGAGTCTTAGATTACCTTAAGTTTACAGTCAGTGCGAAGAAAGATTGGTGTGCATTGGCATTGTCAGGTCCAGAGGTGAAATGGGAATGGATGAGATTTCAGCAGAAAATGATCTTTTTTTCTGTGGGTCTAGAGTCACTTGTAGGCCACACCAGGTAAGGATGGCAGTTTCCTTCCCTCAAGGACATTAATGAACCAGATGGGTTTTTCCAACAATCGACAATGGAATCATTAGATTCTTAATTCCAGATATTTACTGAATTCATATTCAATTCAAATTCCACTATCTGCTGTGGCGGGGTTCAAACCCAGGTCCCCAGAACATTATCTGGGTCTCTGGATTAACAGTCCAGCGATAATACCATTAGGTTATCACCTCCCTTCAGCTCAGGCAAGGATTGAGTCAGGCAATGTTACAGAGATAGAAATGGGCAGTCTGACTGATGGATTCAAACATGTGGGTGGGATTTCATCTTGGATCAAATATAATGCCAAGATTGCAAGCAGTGTCAGACAGTTGCCAGGGAGTGCAATGGCTGATTTGCCACCGGAACAGAAGACAGTGGCTTCAATCTTTCCAGTGTAAGAAATGCAAGAGATTTCTCTTCATTCAGTACTGGCATCAAAGAGTCTGATAGTTGAGAGACACTGAAGGGATTGACAAGGGTGGAGGCAAGAAAGACCATAACAGTATACATAAAGACTATATCTAGCCATGCTAAGTCTCAAATGAGCAGAATATGCAATCTGAACAAGTACTTCAAGTGCACTGCTCTGAACAATGAAATGAATAAGCAGCTTAGATAATGCAACTGAAGTTTCATACCTTTCTACCTGAACCTCTCCCAACTGGAGGATGGCACTCCACTGTTTGCCGGATTGTGCAGAGCATAATTTCGACAAGTGCGCTCTCCTGTCTATCAGTGAGCACTGACAAAAAAAGAATGCACTGTTAGCTTTATTGGCAGGAAACGATGGAAGAAAAGCAACTGATTTCTTGCACCATTTTCATACTATGCAACATCAGATGAATGCTGTTTCAACAGTTAGGCAGAAACGTTCTCATCAAATCTTCCCAGCATCCTTTACAAAGCTCTCTAAAGCCTGTACAAATTACATTAGAGACAATATGTTTCTATGTCTCCTGAACATTAAATAGTCTTTAGCAAGGGTCAAAAGAGTCAAAACACCCTGAAGTACAAATATCTGTAAGTAAATGCATATAAGAGTTTCTAATAAAATTGACCAAACCAGAAATGATCCAGATCAGAGTTCATGTTTCTTTAATCTAAGGCCTACCAAAATTTAACATCATATGTCCATAAAATTGGTTAAACTTCTTAAGTATTTTCACAGAAAAACACTATTACTTTTAAAATGTGAAGGAAATGTTACTGTGAACAAGTTTCAATAAAACCTCCAGGCAATCCACGGGAGCAATAATCAAACAAAATTTGAACTGATCTGGTCTTCTTACCTGAATTACAGATTAAATAGTAATGCAATGTTGACTGGAAAGTGTTCATGGTCACCAACACCAGCTTTATTTTTAGGATTTTTTTAATACATAAAAACTAATTTCCATATCTGCCATCATGGAATTTGAACTCATGTCTGGATCATTTGTCCAGGCTTCTGAAATGTTAAAAACTGCTAATTTACCATTTATCCCAGTCAGGGGTTGAGAATTCCAATTCTCAGGAAGCCCTGGGAGTTTTGACACATCCACAGAGCAGGACAGGCTGCAGATGACAGTGCAGTCTTTAGGCAGTTGCAAAAAGGGGTGCGCCTGCAGGGTCATGCGAGCATGAGAAAGAGACAGGAGACCAGGAAGGGCATAGAACAAAGAACAATATAGCACAGGAACAGGCCCTTTGGCGCCGACATATTTTGCCCTGCCATATTAAAACTGTCTTCACTTACAGGATTTGTATCCCTCTATTCCCTTCCTAATCATGTATTTGTCCAGGTGCTTCTTGAATGCTGCTATTGTGTCTGCTTCCACTGGCAGTGCATTCTAAGCACTCAACACCCTTTGTGTGAAAAACATGCCTCGCACATCCCTTTTAAACATCCCCCCTTGCACCTTGAACCTATGTCTCCTAGCAATTGACCCCTCCACCCTGGGAAAAAGCCTTATACCTTCCACTCTGTGTATGCCATTCACATAAACTTCTATCAGGTTGCCACTCAACCTCTTGCATTCCAATGAAAACAAACCTAGTGTATCCAATCTTTCTCCCAGCTAAAATGCCTCATATCAGGCAACATCTTAGTAAACCTTTTCTGTACCCTCTTCAAAGCATCCACACCCTTCTGGTAGTGTGGCGATCAGAACTGTACGCAATATTCGAAGTGTGACCTAACTAAAGTTCTATGAAGCTGCAGCATAACTTGCCTTTCCTTCTACTCAATGCCCCTTCCAATGAAGGCAAGCATGCCATAGGCCTTTTTTTTGTCCCTTATCTACCAGCAGTACCACCTTCAGTGATCTGTGGACCTGTATTCCCAGGTCTCTCTGTATATCAATACTCCTAAGAGTTCTGCCATTCACTGGATAACTTCCACCTGTACTTGACCTTCCAAAATGCATCACCTCACATTTGTCTGGATTAAACTCAATCTGCCATTTTTTCTTACCATGCCTCCAACTGATTTATATCCCGCTGTACACTCTGACAATCTTCCTCACTATCTGCAACTCCACCAATCTTTGTATCATCTGCAATCTTGCTAATTAGACCAGCTACGTTTTCCTCAAAATCATTTATGTTGATTACAAACAGCAGAGGTTCCAGCACTGAACCCTGTGGGACACCACTAGTCACAGCCCTCCATTCCAAAAAGCATTCTTCCACTGCTGGTCTATGTTTCCTATGATTAAGCCAGTTCTGTTTCCACCTTGCCAGCTCACCCTGATACCATGTGACTTCACCTTTTGTACCAGTCTGCGATGAGGGACCTTGTCAAAAGCTTTACTGAAAGTCCATGTAGACAACATCAACTGCTTTTCCCTCAATCATCTTCGTCACTTCCTCAAAAAAACTCGATCAAGTTAGTAAGGCATGACCTTCCCCCACACAAAACCATGCTGTTTATCGCTAATCAGTCCATTTGCTTCTAAATGTTTAAAGATCTCATCCCCGAGAATCTTTTCCAATAATTTCCCTCCCACTGACAGGAGGCTCACAGGCCTGTAAATTTCCTGCATTATCCATGTTACCCTTTTTAAACAATGGGACAACATTGGCTATTGTCCAGTCCTCTGGGACCTCACCTGTGGCCGAAGACGATACAAAGATGTCAGTCAATGCTCCAGCAATTTGTTATCTTGCATCCCTCAATATTCTGGGATAGATCCCAACAGGACCTGAGGACTTATCTATCTTGATAGTTTTTAAGATGGACAACACCTCTTCCTTTTTAATAGCAACTTGGCTTAGAAATTGTCCCTTCCCTGAGATTTGGGGTGGCATGGTGGCTCAGTGGTTAGCACTGCTGCCTTACAGCGCCAGGGACCCAGGTTCGATTCCAACCTCTGCGACTGTCTGTGTGGAGTTTGCACATTCTCCCCGTGTCTGCATGAGTTTCCTCCGGGTGCTCCGGTTTCCTCCCACAGTCCAAAGATGTGCAGGCTAGGTGGATTGGCTATGCTAAATTGCCCGTAGTGTTCAGGGATGTGGAGCTTACGTGGGTTACAGGGGGATGGGTTGGTGTGGACTTGTTGGGCTGAAGGGCTTGTTTCCACACTGTAGGGATTCTATGATCCGCCACAAATTTCTTCTCTTTATCGAATACCGATACAAAGTGTTCGTTTAAGACCTCACCTACCTCTTCTGGCTCCACACATACATTCCCCCCTTTATCCTTGAATGGGCCAACCCTTTTCCTTGCTACCCTCGTGTTTTTTATATATGGATAAAAGCCTTGGGATTCTCCTTAATTTTGTTTGCTAACAACTTTTCATGAACCCTTTTAGCCTTTCTAATTCCTTGCTTAAGTTCTTTCCTACTTACCTTATATACTTCAAAAATTTTGTCAGTTCCGTCCTCCTAGACCGTACATATGCTTCCTTTTTCTTTTTAACCAAGGATCATGTGAGTTGCCACACCTATCCTTCATTCTCGCAGGAATGTACAGTTCCTGAACGCTTATCAACCGCTTTTTGAAATACTCCCACATGTCCAATGTGAATTTACCCTCCAACAAGCTTCTCCAATCAACACTCTCCAGTTCCTGCCTAATATTGTTGCAGTTCACCTTCTCCCAATTTAACACCTTCATCAAAGGACTGCTGTTATTTCCTATCTACAAGTAACTCGTAGTATAACGGTATAACAGTCACTACTCCTGAAACGCTCCCCCATTGAAACTTGACTCATCTGGCTGGACTCATTTCTCGAAACTAGGTCCCGTATAACCTTTTCCCTGGCTGGGCTGATTACACACTGTGTGAAGAAGCCCTCCTGAATGGTCCTTACAAATTCTACTCCATCCAAGCCCCTAGCACAAAGTGAGCCCCAGTCAATACTGTGAAAATTAAAATCATCCACCACAACAACCGTGCTGTTTTTACATCTTTCTAAAATCTGTCCACATATTCTCCCCTCTATCTCCCACTGGCTGTTTAGAGGCCTGCAGTATACCCCGAGCATTGTGATTTCACCTTTCCTATTCCTGAGTTCTGAGTTCCATACTGCCTCACTGCACGAGTCCTGGAATGTATCCTCCCTCAGTAGAGCTGTGGGATACTCTCCTTTCCAGTAATGCAACTCCCCCACCTCTTTTACATCCCTTTCTATCACACCCGAAACATCTAAATCCTGGGACAGTGAGCTGCCAGTCCTGTCCCTCTTTCAGCCAAGTCTCCATAATCGCGATAATGTCATAGTTCCAAGTACTAAGCAACACTCTGAGTTCATCTACCTTGACAATTATACTTTTTGCATTGAAACAGATGCATTTTAGACCAACTCCCCTGCTCTTTTCAACAGCATTTCTCTGCCTATTCTTAGTCATATTTGACCTGGTTTCTACCTCTCCCTCAATTTCTGCATCTACTGCCCTTCTCCTCTGGTTCCGACGCCCCTGCCACAGTAGTTTAACCCCACTCCAAACACTGTGGCAAGGGGCCCCTCCAACTCCCCAAAAGGACATCAGACCCAGTCCTGCCCAGGTGTAACGTGTCCAGTTTGTACAGGCCCCACCTACCCCAGAACCAGTCCAATATACCATGAATCTTTTCAGCCATGTATTCATCCTACACATCCTGTTGTTTCTACTCTGACTAGTTCATGGCTCTCCTGAGATAACTACCTTTCTGGTCTGTATTTTAACTTTCTTCCAATTTCTCTATATTCTGCCTTTAGGGCCTCATGAATAGGAATCCCACAAGGAGGAGACAAGTAGGTGGGAGCAAGGGAAGAGAATCTGAATCACAAAGGGCCCCTGTAGCAGGGTCTGAACAGTTGTAGTTCTAAGTGGATTGAGCCAGAAGTTGGAGTTAAGGTTCAGGAGAAGCATCAGGAGCCATCCAGACAGCAAGAGCTCAGTAACAGTCCTGGCTGGTCAGAGCACCTAATAGCAGAGGAGAAGGTAGCCTAATGGGAGCATTTGCTTAGTGCAAATGATAAATATCAAAGCACAGAAAAACTTCAGGGCTAGCTGCAGCTATTTCCTATTTGATGTGCTCAAGATGTTGGAGTAAAATCCATTGGGCATATTTACCTCATGTACATTCTGAATTCAAGAGTATGTTGCACATTTTGCAAACCGTTTCACAGATCTAACCTTGCACTGTAAATTTTAGCTTGTTTGTTCACGATCAAGGAATCTTATAGCTTTATTTGCTCAGTACACAGGACCTCCAACTTCTTCTACGTCAAAGAAGAAATTGACTGGTCCCAAGCCAGATTATAATGTAAATTTTCCAATCTCATTTGGGTTGGAAACAGGACTAGATGATAAAATCCAGTTGTTTACATCCATTTGCACCGCATAAGCCAGTAAGCTGTGAATATTGTACGGTCCGGAAACAATTGTTTCTGCCTGGAACTGTATCAATAATTAATGCTTGTAAGAAGTTCAAGAAACTAGCAAAACCCAAGCTATCAGGAGACATCGAAATGGTCCAAATTAGAGCAGTACTTGAGGAAATGCAGGGGCTTGATTTCTGAAAATAAGATTTGAAATCCTTTGTGAATGAGACAAAGTTTTAATGAGATTTCGTGACCCACTGTTCACTACTGTGTAGGTAGGCTCCTAAGAAATCTGTGACATCATTCTGGACTGCTGTGCACTGATGTGCTATGTGGGCTGGTCAACCAATGTTGTTCTGTTAAATTTTTTTACATTTACTTCAGGTTAATTTTAGACGCTGCAATATATGTTCTGTGTGAAGAGATGTCAATATAAAATGAAAACAGTTAAACAAAGTTTATTCTGCTTATTCAAAACCTTGAATCTTGTAACTATATTCTCTTAAGTACCGTGGATCTCAAAACTTTGTCAACTTTCAAAGAAATTATTGGTCCCTAACTGGTTTGTAATACAAATTTAGTGATCTTATCTGGGATTGTTGCAAATTTGGTGGACTTGTCAGGGAGAATAACAATTATGTAACATCCAAATATTCTAACATACCTCAGCAAGATGATTTTACAAACTAAAATTTTAATCTGCTTAATAAGCGGGCAGCAAGCTGGCTCAGTAGTTAATACTACTGCCTCTCAATGCCAGGGAACCAAGTTCGATTCCAGCCTTGAATAACTGACTGTGTGGAGTTTGCATGTTCTTCTCATGTCTAAGAGGGTTTCCTCCAGGCGGTCTGGTTTTCTCCCACGTCCAAAGATATGCAGGTTAGGAGGACTGGTAATGCTAAATTGCCCAATACTGTCCAATGTTGTACAAGCTGGTGAGTTAGCTGTGGGAAATACGGGGATTGGGGAGGTGGGGGTGAGATGCTCTTCAGATGGTAGGTGCAGAATCAATGGGTCGAATAGCCTCTATTTGCACTGTAGGGATTCCATGATAAAATTATACTTTAGATAGGGGTCCAGGATATTTAAATCCTTAATTTAGGCTCCCCACTGTTTCCAATTCTCCTCTCAGTCATTCATGTCTTACTTGTTACATGAAATTTCACGGCTGAGAGACGTTCTACTGCATCTTAACCAAGTACCTAACTTTTGGATGCGTACTTGATTGCTAAATGGCAATTGATTAATCAACTGCATGGATATACCAGAAAAACAACTTCTCTCAAATAATTATTTTAGTCAACCTGTTTGAACATGTTGTAACACACCTCCCAGGCAGGTAGGGACTTGAACCGTTGTCCCTAACAGGAGTCAAGTGATTGACAATCAGCAGGGGTAAAGCCAAATCAGTTCAGTCTAGGTCTCTAATCTAGGGAATACTAAGGTCACATGCTGCAGCCTCATCAGTATTCCTCGTGAAATCACAGTAGTTAAATGGAGCCTTCCAGGTCAATACAATTCAAAATTACTTTACACGATGTGATGATATACCTACGCATCAGGAGAGCATTTGATTCTTTATTTTTTGATTATAGTACATGTGAATGCATTCAAACATCAACATGTTATTTTGAATGATCAAGTGGCATTCATTTTTTTACGACATATTTGATGTATATTTTTCAAAATTTTGCACACTACGTTTTTACGTATTTTCATGAAGTGTCAAAGAATGTTGTTTAAAAATCGTTTACCTTCTTCACCATTGAGTGGCTCGTCCAAAAGGAGACTAGCCATGCATTCCCAATCTTTGAGCAAATCAGTTGCACAATCCCACATGCTATCCACAAGATAAGCAGCATGTTCGTGCAGCTATCAATGGAAAGAAAGAACAATTTAGGAGAATTGAAAAATTTCAGCACAACATAATTTCAACGTGGAAAAAGTCATAATCCTAAGATTTTGTGAAAATGCATTAACTTGGATAACATAGTTTGTCTACATTTATTTCTTGCGCTCCCAAAATAACGTACATTAAAAAGCAATCATGTTATGAATTGTGCAGTGAAAGTCTGAAGTAGATTCTATATCACATGAATAAACTAAAACTGCTGTAATTACTTAGAAGTCAGGCAGTATCTATGGAGAGAAACAGAGTTTCAGAGTTTCAAAGTATAAGAATGAAATGCTTCCAAAAATTCAAAATAATTCTAATCAAAGGCTGTACTGACACAGAACGCCAACTCTGTTTCTCTCCACAGATACTGTCTGGTTTGCTGAGTAATTGCAGCATCTGCAGCATTTTGCTTTTATCTGTAACGTTTAGACTCAGTTGGACATAACAGCTCAAACTACACAGCACACTGTGCCAATTGTTGTACCATCCACATTCAACAATCTACAAAAAGTCTGTTGTTGCTCCAAGTGCAATCTGTTTACTGCCTTTTAGGATCTCAGCAATATGCAATGCTTGAATTGAAACTGCAAGAGATTCCTATCAATGATGCATCAAAAGGAAAAATGATACCATTGTGGAGTGTGGAAAGGGTGGGGGGTTTTGAGATTATGCTTTCTCCCTCTTTAAGGTGAAAGAAAAATCAGAGATAATAAATCTAGTTGGCACTTGTTTGATGAACTGAGGAGTAGCAATCATAATTTGCGTTCTCTACTGGTAAAATAACACCGAACAAAAGTTAACAATTTTGTTTTCAAAACTGAAGATCCAAGACAAGAATCTGATGAAGAACAAAGAAAATTACAGCATAGGAACAGGTCCTTTGGCCCTCCAAGCCTGCACTGACATGTTGCCCGTCACAACTAAAACCCTCTACACTTCTGGGGACCGTATCCCTCTATTCCCATTCCCATTCCCATCCTATTCATGTATTTGTCAAGACGCCCTTTAAAAATCACTATCATATCTGCTTCTAATACCTCCCCCGGCAGCGAGTTCCAGGCACCCACCACACTCTGTGTAAAAAAAAAACTTGCTTCGTACATCATCTTTAAAACTTGGCCCTCACAGCTTAAACCTATGCCTGCTAGTAACTGACTAGTCCACCCTGGGAAAAAGCTTCTGACTGTCCACTCTGCCCATGCCCTTCATATTTGTAGATCTCTATGGGGTCGCCCCTCAACCTCCGTTGTTCCATTGAGAACAACCCAAGTTTCTCTAACCTCTCCTCACAGCTAATGCCCTCCATGCCAAGCAACATCCTGGTAAATCTTTTCTGTACCCTTTCCAAAGCCACCACATCCTTCTGGTAGTGTAGCGACCAGACTGAACACAATATTCCAAATGCGGTCCAAGATTCTATAAAGCTGCAACATTACCAGCCAATTTTTAAACTCAATGTCCCAGCTGATGAAGGCAAGCATGTCATATGCCTTGTTGACTACCTTCTACACCTCCGTTGCCACTTTCAGTGACCTGTGTACCTGTACACCCAGACCCCTCTACCTATCAGTACTCTTAAGGGTTCTGCCATTTAATCTCATAAATGATCAAATAACTTTGTTCCCAACAAATGACAAACATTATTTTAGGAACTGAGATCCGTAAAATACTAATTATTGTGCAATGCTATCAGTAAAGCCATTACTGATTGAATGTATTAATGGCTAATGTATCATAATTAATGGTAATGTGCATAATTAACAGCCTACCTCACTCTCGAGGAAGAAAAACACCAGTGTTTTGATGAGCTTTGCATTTGGGCTTTGCCTTCCTTTTCTTTTTACTGCCCCTTCATCAGATTCAGGGTCTTTCTGACTGAAAAGCCTTAAAGAAAAGACAGTCAATATTACAGCATCAAAAAAAGTTTTAAGAAGAATTTCACTTCAAATTAAATTCCATCAATCCCCAGTTGTACTTGACAAGCTTTCCAGTACTTCTTGCCATCAAGTATCCTTCATCATAGAGGGTACAGCAAAATTAGAATTCTCCAGAGTTGCGCTATTACATCAAGAAAGTTACTTCAAAAATACTAGTTCAACATCCAAAATAGAGGTTGATTAGATCCAAAAGTACTTTACAAGAACAAAATACTTCAATCTCTGTCGATCTTCAGCCAGGATACACAACTGACCACTGACAAAACTTGCACATTTGAGGCATGCGACAAAGCCAGTAGTCTTGGAGTCCATAGTTAAAAAGTTTTCAGCTGGGATATGAATATTTCTAGAACTTGCCAAATATTATTAATGATTAACTACAGAGGAATCTAATTAAATAAACAATATTTTTGCTTACAAAATTTAACTGATATCATCAATGTTCTCCCAAGTAAGTTTGTCAACCATTTGTTCAAAGCAGCTCAGTTGCATCAGTTTAGACTTCTGACCCTTAAAATTGCACGTTAACTTAGCTGAACAATTGTAAGAAAGGTGGAGAGGAAAGCAGTAGCAGAAGAAACTCAGGAGCAGGTTGGGAGAGTTGAACAAATCAACAGAGTGTGAAGATCACATAGTTAGGGAAGCAACAATGTTTATTCATTAATTCAAATAATTTGAATTGGTAATGTGAAATTATCAGTTGGCAGGAGTAAAGCATTTCAACAATTTTCAACATTTTTGGTGGGTGCCATGAAAGGGATAGCAGATGCAGACCATGGACACACTATAAAGTTACCAATGGAAAAATATGCACACATTTTGGAGGAGAGAATGTGCTAAGCAGGCATGTGTAATGTGCATATGCCAATGCTTACACTATCTCTTAAAACTGAAACACTGCAGCTGGATTAGATGCTGGAAATCATTCATGAAGGGAACCTCACTTTGGAAGAAATGCTTGGGGACACTGGACTTCAAGGTTTGCAGGTGCCACATGGGCAATGTTGACAGAAAGGAGAAAAGACTTTTTGTAGGATGTGGATGTTGCTGCGAAGACAATATTTGTGGGCCATTCCAAACTGTTCTTGAAATCAATTCAGAGGCATTTAAGAATCATCTGCATTGCGATGGATTTAGAGTCACATGTAGGCCAGATCAGGCAAGGACAGCAAATTTCATCCCAACAGGACAATAATAAACCAGATGTGATAACAATCGACAACAATCGTATGGAGAATAGCTTTCCAGATTGTATTAACTGAAGTTAAATTCTACCAGATGTCATGGTGGGATTTGAAGCCACATTCCCTCGACCTCTGAATTCCTCATTTTGTGACATTACTACAACGCCACCAACCCAATGTCCTGTCTCTGAAAAGGGCAAGGAGGCCCTAAATCAAACAGTCAAAAGGCACGGAGAGCAGACGGCTGTGGAGGCCAAGGTCAGAACTCAAATCCAGATGCCATGCAGACAGAATGGCTGGATACTAATGAATGCACTTTCAAATGACATATGATACCAACTGTATCAGTGGTCTCAACTGTTGTTTAAAACACCTCATCACAATCCAATCAACAATCTCTATAAATCAGAATTCATATCCAACATTCAGTAGTTTCATCTCAACCTCTCAAACCTCACTCTCACAAACTTGCAAATCTTTCACCTACATCTCAAAGCTTGGATGAATCACCAGAAATACAAACAACATCCAAACCGACTGCACTGAACTGAGTAGCACGTTCCCTCCTTCTTGCAGGACATGGTATCCATACAATGGGAGATAGGAGCTAGCCTGAGGGTGGCAGGCACAAATGCACTTCCAAAACACTTAAGCTGGCCATTACTTGAACACCTTTTGCAGAACCCATGGCCAGCAACAAAGATGAATCCAAACATGAAGATGGAACAATAAGTTGGGGGAACAACCAGGTAAGGGGTTATTCAGGATTTGGTATTGTACAATGAAGTGGGGTTAATTATCTCATCGTAAAGGATCCTCTAGAGAAGAGTGATCATAACACGAGAACTTCAAATTCAGTTGGGAGGGCGAGAATCTGGGTCCGACACCAGTGTTCTGAACTGAAATGAAGCTAATTACCTAGGCATGAGGATAGATCTGGCCCAAGTGCACTCGGCGGAAAACTTAAAGGAAGGACAGTGGATGAATAGTGGAAAATCTTTGAGGAGATACCTCAATTGCTCTCAATTAAAACATATCCCAGAAAAGAAGGAAGACTATAAGAGGGGGAGAAAACATCCATGGCTAAACATGGAAGTTAAAGATAACACAGACAAAAACTAAGGCTTATCATATTGCAAAGGCCAGTGGCAGGCGAGTAGATTAAGAAACTTTTAAAGATCAACAAAGGGTCACTAAAGAGTCAAATAAAGGATGAAGGTAAATTATGAAACAAAATGAGCATAAAATATAAATAGCACAAGCTTCTAGAAGTAGATAAAAGGCCCAACAAATCCACACCAACCCTCAGAACATCCCACCCAGACCCATCCCCCTATAACCCACCTAATCTACACAAACTTGAACACTATGGGCAATTTAGCATGGCCAATCCACCTAGCCTGCACATCTGTGGACTGCGGGAGGAAACTGGAGCACCCAGAGGAAACCCATGCAGACACAGGGAAAAATGTGCAAATTCCACACAGACAGTCGCTCCAGGGTGGAATCGAACCCAGGTTCCTAGCGCTGTGAGGTAGCAGTGCTAACCATTGAGCCACCGTGCTGCCCTAATTGAAGGCAAACAAACCCCCAAGGCCTACATCCTAGTGTCTTAATGGAAGTAGCAATGGCGATACTGTATACATTGGCTAAAATATTCCAAAATTCACTTGTTATGGGAAAGATTCCAGTGGATTGGAGAAATGCTAATATAATACCCTTATTCAAAAAGGAAGAGAGGCAAAAAGTGGGAAAGTAAAGACCAGTTAATTTAACGTGTCATTGGGAAATTGTTAAAAACCATTACACGTAGATCTGCTATAATGCATGTTTCATTAACACGAATTGGCTATAATGCGATTAATGAAGAATTGACACTGTTTGGATAATGCGAACTTTCTGCTGTTCAGGTATAGCGATTTTCTATAGCAGGAGGTCACATTATAGGAGAACTAGCTGTACTAAGGAAGTAGTAATAGGACATTTGGAAAATCAAAATAAAACCATAATGACTCTGATGGGTTGAATGATGGGTAAATCATGTTTGACCAATTTGCTACAGGTCTTTGAAGATATAACAAGTAATATGGATAATAGGGATCCAGTAGATGTAGTAGAGATGGACCTCCTGAAGGAATTTGGTAAGGTGCCACACAAAAGGCTAATACACAAGATACAAACATGAGGTTACGAGTCATTTATTAGATTGGATAGAGGACTGGTTAACCAACAGAAAACAAACAGTCGGGATAAATGGGTCTTTTTTTGTTCAGCAAGGTATAACCAGTGGGGGTCCAAAACAGGATTCGGTCCTTGGGACCCGACTATTTACAATCCATAAAATGGCATGGATGTTGCGATAAAAAGTACAATAGACAAATTTGCAGATGACACTAAATTAGTTGGGAAAGTAAGTTGGAATGATGAATTAAGAAATTTATAAATAAGCATGCTTAAACAAGGCAGGCTTATCTAAATGGAGAGAAACTTCAGAGTGCTTTGGTGCAATGGGATCTGCATGATCCTCACGCATGAACTGCAGAAAATGAGAACGCGGGTACAGCAGATAATTCAGAAGGCAAATGGAATTTTGGCATTTATTGCTAACGGAATAGAATAGAAAAGTAGGGAAATGTTGCTTAAACTGTACAAGGCATTAGTGAGACCACACTTGGAATATTGCATATAATTTTGGTCCCCTTGAGGAGGAATGTAGTTGCATTGGAGGCAGTGCAGAGAACATACTTTAGATTTATTACAGAGATGAGGAGCATGTCTTATGAAGACAGAATGAGCAGTTTAGGCCGATATTGTCTGGAATTCAGAAGTATGACAGGAGATCTAATTGAGGTACATAAGATACTAAATAGGATTTGACAAAGTAGATGTAGAAAAGATGTTTCCTCATGTGGGGCAATCTAAAATGAGAGGTCATATGTTTAGGATAGGTAACAGACATGTTACTGGAGAGGAGAAATCACTTCTCTCAAAGGGTCGTAAATCTTTAGAATTGACTGCTCAACAGTGTGATAGTTGCTGGGATAGTGGCTAAATTTGAAACAATAGACAGAATTTTAATTAGTAATGGGTCAAAGGGATTTGGAGACTGGGTAGGAAAGTGGAGTTAAGGCCAAGATTAGATCAGCCATGATTGTATCAAATGGTAAAACAAGCTCAAGGAGCTGAATTGCCTACTGTTGATCCCAGTTCTTATACCTTCACACTCAACCCTCTATCACACATCCCAGTTTCTCTTCATCTCACATTCCTAATTTACAACGTGTAAGCATGACATCTTTCTATGCTTAGGAGGTGATGATGGCATTGTGGTATTGTCACTGACCTAACAAACTTGACCTGATCTTCAACATTCTGCCTAAGCAGATGCATTTGTCCTTGATTATATCACTAAGATTGATGTCTGCACAGTCCTCATGGAGATGAAGTCCTGTCTTCAGATTGTGATTACCCTCTCTATTGTACTTTGTGACACTATCAGTTGTCAAAAATTTTAAATAGAACAAGCAACTCAAGACTGGGCACCCTAAAGTCTTGTGGGCCATCAGCAACAGCACAATTACACACAAACACAACCTCACGTCCAGTAAATCCCACCCCACAGGCGATCAGCCCTGGTTCAATGAACAATGCAGAAGGATATGCCAGGAGTAACCCCAAGCATACCTAAAAATTAGCTACCAACCTGGTGAAGCTACAAGACTACTTGCATGCCAAACAACACCAGCAGAAAGTGGCAGGCAGGGCTTAGCAATACATATGAATTCAATGGAAGGTCTGCAGGCCTGCCATTTCCAGTCAGGAATGATGGACAATTAAACAACTTATTAAAGGAGGCTTCACAAAGATTCTGACCTTCAACGATGGCAGCGCCCAACACAAGTGCAAAAGCTACAGCAAATTTACAACAAACTTCAGATAGAAGTTCCAAATTGGTAAATTAACTCTGCCTCCACCTGAGGTGTCCAGTATCACAAAGGCCAGTCTTCAGCCACTTTAATTCAGTCTATGTAACATCAAAAACAGTTGAAGGCACAGGATACTGCAAAGGCTATGGAACCTGACAATAATCTGACAATGGCAGCAAATATAGCATGCCACGAATCAAGTTCTTTCCATACAGTTACAACCCTGCTGTCTACCTGTAAATGTGAGAAGAAATAAAGTAAATTAGTCTTCTTTGAAATAACGTGTCAGTGATCTTCATAAGTTAGAATGGATACCAAACAACTCCAAATATGTCAGGCTGCAACCTGAAAAGAACCAGATGCAAAATAATTTATTGTCGTGACCACTGTCTCAATTACTGGAAAAAGCTTTCCTTGCCTCGTTCAGAGGTTCTGGTGCAGCTGCAGATTTCGCATTGGTGCACTCACTGCAGAGTGTCTTGACAGCCATTTTACGTCGCAGGTCGAAGTGCCACTGTATCACATTCAGACTTTGACAAAATCTTAAAATTGTCCTTTTTTTCACAGTTGACCTGAACACTGGATTTCTAGTTTTCTTTACATTTGACTGAGTCAAGGAATGTTTATTCTGCATTTCAACCCCTTATTGTCCCTACCCCAAGAATGGTTGATGGGAACAGAGTTGAGGAAAGCGATTTTTGTTTGTTTGTTTGTTTTCTTTCTTCCCCCTCAGAGAGTCACTGGAACTCTATTTCATTTTGAGAGTTGGGGAAACTTTTACTTTTCTGTTTTAAAAGAGCAGAATGAGTTTTATTCTGTATTTAACCCAGTACTGTCTCCATCCCAGGAGTGTCGGATTGGAGCAATGTTTTGGCATGTGGCAGTGCTTGACTTTTCTGTTGCCATCTTTTGCTTAAGAGTAGAAGCATTTCAAAATCTTGTGTAATTGACACCTGTGCTCAAGCATTGTCTATTCCTGGATCTTCAATGAGTACACAATGCTGTTTCGACAAATATTTGATTTCATGTTGCAAGATTGCGGCGACTCCATTTTTCTTGCCCAGCATAACAGAAGCTCCATCTGATGTAAAGACCACCATCTTCTGTAAATCAAGGTCACTGTTAACATAAAATTGCTTGATTGCTGTCACAACGGAGGCAGTGTTGTAAGCGGTTTCAAAATTCCTGCAAAAACAATCTTTTAAGCAAGTTGATGTACAAAATCAACATTTTTTGTACTAGAATGTCCCTAACTTTTGACAACTGTCAACACAATAAAACACAATTTGCACAATTCATCCACAAACTGTCTCTGTATGAAGAAGCCAATACAGTCTACCAGGGAAGAGAGACATGGAATTCTGAACACAAATACATCAGCTGAAATTTTACTGAACGGCAGAACACACTTGAAGGACTGAATGGCCGACTTGTGCTCCCAAGTTGTATATTCGTTCAACAGCAAAATAGTCCTTCAATACCTGTCACACTGCTCCCCATAAAGCTTTGCAGTTTGAAACAATTAGAGAGCACCAAACCCTTGCAGAATCAGACCAACGCAGGAGAAATTTTTGAGCAATGAAAGTGAAGATCAACTTGCAATTTGGAGGAAGTGCAGCATATGAGTTCTTAAAATGTCTTTGCGAACACTTTCCTACCAGTGACAAATTAACAGTCTCAAGTTTAAACTCATCTTGGATCAAAGTTCCTATTATTAAGGATGTCAGTCGTAGCAACAGAATTTCAGTGATGTAATTCAAGAATTACATCATTGTTGAGCTGGTAGTCAAGTTCCCTCTGTTCTCCAAAGTCTTGTGATGTTGGCGTATGATCAAGTTTTATTTAAGTTGGCACAAGATTCAGTTGAAGTGATAGACAGCAAAGCAGAACGTGATGAGAAATTCAGAAATAATTTCCCCTTAGACACTTCTAAATTGATTTTGCTCCTTACTTTTTGTAAAGAAATTCTCCGGCTGCTACAGCGACTGGTCGATGAGCAGAGTAAACCAAATGGTAGACATTTTCACAGTCCTCAGAGGTAAGGACGTCATCACTACCCCTATAATAGAAAATACAAGAGCAAAAATAACTTCATTCAGATGCTGGTCAATTTGATAAATAGCTTCAATTTTCATTTCAACTTTGCAGTCAGAAAAGTGGCATGAGATTGCACAAACAACAGCATATTGACAAAACTAGGTACAGTATTGGATATATTTTATGGCGTATTCGGTAAAATTAGAAATTGTTTAGCACGTGGTTCATTGAATGAAACTGAGCTGCTTAAATTAAAATTTTAAAATATACAGAACGAGGTAGAATTGCTGAATTAGTCAGAATGTGCTATTTTATGTATAACGTGCAAATAGGATATATTGAATCAAGAACAATCATGATCGTTCAAGGAAGTGTTTCAGACACTGAAGAACTTTTCAAGTATAATCATTATTCCACTTTTGGTAAACAAGGCAGCCATTGGAATATAGCACATTTTTTACATTTCTGGCAGTCCTGAGGAAGGGTCACCGGACCCGAAACGTTAACTCTTTTTTTCCTTCACAGATGCTGCCAGACCTGCAGAGCTTCTCCAGCAACTTTGTTTCTGTTCCTGATTTACAGCATCCGCAGTTCTTTCGGTTTTTACATTTTTTTACATGTCCATCTAAGGAGCTAGGTCTCAGCATCAAGTATCATTCAAAAGATGACAGATTTAACAGCACAGTAGGAAGTACAAACTCAGATGTTCTCCAATTCCTGCAGCCAAGTTTAAATGTACAGTCTTCAAACTCAAAGCTGAAAAACTACAACTGAGCTAAGGCACACTTGAAATTATGTTTTGAACTACAAAATAATGTGAGAGTTTATAGCTTTGGGTGCCGTTACATGTCTTGTCATTTTGATATATTTTTTGAGATGCTGGAGTTCTCAACAACACTTTATTCCAAAAACTGTATATTGGAAAGGTAAATCTTTAAAAATTAACAGAACAAAACTGTTTATTTTTAAATCCTAACATAAACCAGGTTGATGAATAAAGGGAACTGGTATTAAATAAACAATTAAATTATATTTATACATGTATTGCAGGTTGCAGATTAGAGATGATCTGAAAAAGGTCTTTAAAAGTACAAATGGGTTAGTTATATTAAAACTAGGAGCAAAACGTGAGGTACATTAGGCCCTTCAAGCCTGTTCTGCCATTGAATCTGATTGTAGCTGATGCTCCATCTCAACACTATATCCGAGCTTTCTCTCCGCTTCCCTTAATGCCTTGAAGGCAAAAAAACATATCAATAACTTTCTTGAACATGCTCAGCATTCTGGCCACCAGAGCCTTCTGTGATAGTAAATTCCTCAGGACGAGCACCCTGAGTGAAGAAACATTTCCTCCTTTGTCCTACCCATATCCTGACACCTGATGCTAAAATCCCCAACCAGGAGAAACATTCTCCCCGCATCGAGTCTGTCTAGCCCTGCAAGAACTTCTCCATTTCAATCAGAACCCCTCTCATTTTTCTAAACTCTGGTGAATTCAGGCCCAGTCAAAGCAATCTCTTCTCCTACGAGAGGCCTGCAACCCCCAATATCAGTCTAGTGAACCTTCAGTGCACTTCCTCTATGGTTAGAGCTTACTCTCTTAAGTAGTCAGACCGAAATTGCACACCAAATCCAGGTGCAGTCTCACCAAAACCCTGTTTAACTGAAGGAAGTCCATCCCCACTTCTGAACTCAAAACCTCTTACAATGAAGACCAACATACCATTTGCCTCCTCAGTTTCTTGCTGCACCTGCCTGTTGATTTCATTGAGTGGAGTAGAAGATCACTCATATCGCTTTGCGCATCCACATTTCCCAATACATCACTATTTAAATAATACTTTGCTTTTCTGTTTTTCACACTGGTGTGTACAGCTTTACATTTATCCACGTTGTTCTGCATCTGCCACGTTTTAGCCAACACAATCAACTGTCTTGATTGCCCTGAAGCCACCTAGCATCCTCCTCATAACACCATTTAGATTTGTGTCATCAACATGTATTCTCAACCAAGTCAATATACTAACCACAACCTGTCTGCTTCAATTTTGCTCACAAACCTCGTACGCTGAAATTATCAAAAGCTTTCTTGAAATCCAAATATACCACAGACCACTGATTTGTCCTTCTCTATTCTATTAGTTATGTCCTCAATAACCTCCAGCAGATTAGTTAAGCATGATTTCCCTTTCATAACCTCATGGCTGACTTTATCTGATCCCATTAATATTTCCAAGTGTTCTATTATCAGATTTGTTTTAAACAAGCCTCCAGCAATTTCCCCAGTACTGACGTGATGCTAACCTGTAAATCAATGTTTTTTCCTTCCTTCCTTTTTTGAATTGTGTGGTTATATTTACAACCTTCCAATCATTTAGAAAATGCTCCAGAGTCTACAGAATTATGGACAATGACCATCAATGCATCTAATATTTCCAGATTCACTTCCCTAATATTCAGAGATGCAGATTATCAGGCCCGGGGGATTTGTTAGCCTTTAACTTCATTGATTTCTCAAGCACCTTTTTTCTCATTCAAAACAATTTTCTTCAAATTCACTCTCTCACTTGACCGTTGGCTCCCAAACATTTCTGGGAAATGATTTGTGTTCTTTTTAGTGAAAACAAATCAAAATATGTTTTCAATTCTTCTGCTATTTCTTTGATCCTTCATACAATTTTTCCCATTTCTGACTGTAAGGGACCTAACATTTGTCTTCATTATTCTTTCTCTTTACATATTTATAGAAGCTTTTAGTCAGTTTTCACATACCCTGCAAGTTGACTCGCATACTCTATTTTACCCCTCTTACTCAATCTTTTTGTCCTCTTTTGCTGAATTCTAAGTTGCTCCTGAGCCTCAGTCTTGATCATGTTTCTGGTAATTTTAAATGTCTTCTTTCTGGATATAACACTATCCCTAATTTGTTTAGCCACCTTTCCTAGATAGGAAGGATTTATTGTAATTCATGCATACATTACTTAAATATTAGGTGAGATGTGGAGAGCATTTTTCCACTTTTGAGAGCATCCAAAATTAAAGATTATAAACATAAAACTCTGAATGGCTCAAAAAGCAGCTAGAATGTAGAACTCTCTACCAAAGGAAATGCAGGATCTCGGCAAATGCTTTCATCATTCCAAAGGGAAACTACACAAGTCTATCACAGGAAACAAAATAAGAAGTATGCCACAAAGTTGGGCTGAGATGTAAGGATGGGAGGAGACTCATGTCAAATATAGGTACCAGCTCAGATGAGTTTGGTCAAATGACAAGTTTATACTACGTAATTTTATGTTCATGTAGTTTACACAAAAACCATGCAAATAGTTTCTATGAATACAGAATGTTTGGATGCATGATCTTGTATACATATCTATTAAAAAGCACAGTTTAAAGATTCAGAAGTGAAAACGATCTGCAATGTACGATACCTGGGAGGAGATTGACCTAAGCATTACCAAGGGGTCTGAGAAAGCAGAGCCGTTTCAGCTATCAGAGAAAGAGTGAATACATGCATATGTGGTTTGTGTCATGGTAAGCCGTGCATGGACTGTGAACTGGATCAGGTGCCTGGATACTGTACAAGTGAGAGTAAAAATTTGAAGATTTATTAATAGAGTAAGGGATGGGTTCTGTCATTTTGTACCAGTGAGAAAGGGAGTTGCGAGAAGACTCTGAGAATTATACTAGGTCTGAAAATAAAGGCTAAAGATGAGAGAGGAACAAACTTTAAGCATCTTAAAAACATTAATTAGTCCATTTTTAAAACATCAGAAAATGTTTTTGAAATTTGGCATTTATTTTGTTTATAGGGCAAAGCTTAGTAACCAGAGTCAAAAACTGAATGGATTTTTAGAGTCAACTTTTGTCTCAATTGCAGCTGACCTTGGAGCTACCAAGACACAAAACGGTTATCACGTGCACAGAAGCAGACAGGTGTAATTTCAGAGTTCTGGTCAGACTGACAGATCGAACTTGACATGAAATCAGGGTTATTTCCTGGGAGTGCAGGAATTGTATTTGCACTATATTGTATACAGAGGATTGAATACATTGCTGCGAGAAGCAAAAGTTTAGCTTGTTATGTGACTTAATAGATTCTGAAATGGCCTAAATCCAATATACTCAGAGTGAAAAATGCATCTCAAACGATAGCACAATATTATAAAAACCCACTTATTATAAAAGATTCTGACGGGCCACAAGAACAAGGAAGCAAATATAACATAAAATTTCTACTTACTGCAGAACAAGAGTCAGAAGTTTTATTGCTTGCACAGCAACTTCATATTCTTTATCTAGAGTCATAGAAACAATTCTATCCTAAAAAGAAAGGATACTTTATTCGATCAGTAAACCCTCAAAATAACTTAGATGCAGCTTTTGCTACTGCATTTTTTTCAATAAACATTTTTTTAATACCAACTTCTGACATGAAAGTAAGATACTCTCTGATGACAGATAACTTTGGAGCATTTATAGAGCAGTCACATTATTTACCATGCTCGCAGACATCAACTGGTCATTGCAGACTGGCATCTTCTCATTACAGTGGAATGTCGCACCGTCAACATGAAAAGTTTTTTTTTTAAGAAAGCACTCTATCTTTTATCATATGATTCACAGTGAACAGGAGGATTTTTATAACTTGGAACACTGATTTGTGGAAATCAAATGTGTCAAATTGCAATTTTATTACGTGGCCTTTCACAATTTTTGGATTGTTCTGGGGTGTGATTTCCTCTCGTAAAATCAGAATCAGAGACTGGTTACAGCATAGGACATCACTGCTTGGTCCTTCAAGACACCTCTCTACACCCCTATCCTCTACTATAAACCTGCAATTTGTTTTATTTTCAGGTGCCTATCCAACCACAATTGAATATGCCTCCACCACCAATTCAAGCAGTGCATTTCAGATCCTAAACATTAGCTGCTTTAAATGTTTTCTCATGTCACCATAGTTCTTTTACCAATCACAACGTCCTCTAGTTATCATTCCTTTCCTCAAAGTCATCAGTTTCTCCATTCACTCTGCCTAAATCCTCCATGTTTTTGAACACTTCTACCAAACTTCCTCTAAGTAAAGCATTTCCAATCTCGGCCTTCAACTGAAGTGCCCCACTCTTGAAATTAGCACTGTAGAATTTTCACTGCATCTTCTCCAAAGCCTTCAAATCTTTCCTTGAATGTGATCCAAAGATTGGATATAATACGCAAATTAAGGTTGAATGTCTTATGAAGGTTCACCATTACTTCCTGGTTTGTGTATGTGCAAATGAGTGTGTTCACGAAGTACAGGATTCCATATGCCTCTTCAATTTCAATTTCTCAACCTGTCATCCTGCTTCAACAATTTACATTTAAATAACCCCAGGCCTTTCTGTTCCTGTACAAATTGTAGTGTTTGCTTTATATTGCCTCTTCTCATTTTTTCTACCAAAATGAATCCTTGCACATTGCTCTGTATTAAAATTTCATCTGTCATTTGTCCACCTATTTCACCAACCTGTCTTGGTCCTTTTGAAGTCTATCATTGTCCTCCTCCCAATTAAAATTTTTGTAGACTGTCATTTACAAGTACTTAAATTGTGCCCTATACACCCAAGTCTAAGTCATTGACATAAAATAAGAAAAGCAGTGGCTCAAATACAGAACCACCCTAACCCCCACCCCCCACACTCTTCACTGACCCCCAAGGAAACAGCATTCTGCATCCTTCGGCAGTCTGAACGACAGCAGTTTACGACCATGCTGCTTCCTCACACTCAGCTAACTTTGTCTCCATGTTGCCATTACCTCTTTTCATCCATGGAAATCAAATCTGCTGGCAAAGCTATCAAATACAATTTGGAAGACTTTTTAAATATTTGCTTTGAACAAATTCATGTTGGTCTTTCTTGTTTAACCTTGTTTAGACTGACTGCTAATTTTGCTCGCAAAATTTCTATTGGCTTTCCTACCACTGTAATTAAACTGACTGCCACATAGATTCTGGGTTTATCTTTAGACCTGAATGAGGAGATAACACAAATTATCTTGATTAGTAAATATTTTGACATCTATATATTGAATTTCTATCACCTACCTTATTCCAAGCTCTGGATACAAGCTGATAGGCAAAGTGGAGCAGATTAGAGTGAGGAAGACAAACCCCAGAGAGGATAGGTAGGAACAGTAGTGACTGGAAGCAGCAGCTATGTAGGATTGAACTTCAATCATACCACATTGTGATTTTAACAGCTTAGTGGGGAATTAACTGGATACAGCAATAGTGGAATAGAAGGTATATGGATGACAGTATAAGGTAGGGGTGGAGATTAGATAGGTTTCGGGTAAAAGTTCGGCACAACATCGTGGGCCGAAGGGCCTGTACTGTTCTATGTTCTAAGAGATAGTGATGGAGTTTGTCAATGATATCAGGAATGGCGCTGGAGTAATGGATATCCTGTAAGGGAAACAGCATGGTCTTGAGGAATCATTACAGCAACTGACTTCTTACAGCACTGAGTGCCAAGTTTAGAAGAACAATGTGCATATTTCAGAATAATGTTATTTAATTTGCTTCTTTTACTTGAGGATTGAGTTTTGCTGAAACTTGAGATTTATTTAGGATTTTCAGGATATTCATCAAAGCACAGGATGGGGAACTAGACAGATGTACTGAGTTAAGCATCACCACTAGTGTCATAGCATAATTATAACCATATTAAAGATAAGGATTTATAACGAAGAAAAAAATTAACAGAATCGTGAAGAAGTGTAAAAATACAAATGAAGTTTTGAAGAAAAAACAACAAATGCTGGAGATCACGGCAGGTCAGACAGCATCAACAGAGAGAGCAAGCAAATGTTTCAAGTTTAGATGACTCTTCGTCAGAGCTGAAGTGAAGTGTGGAGGGGAGAGCACTTATGCGTACATGCGCCCGTGTTGAGTGGCTGTAGGGTACTGGTGGAGAAATAGTTCAGATTAAGTGATCAGAATGTGAGAATGGCAGAACAATGCTGTGTCTCCTGCCAGACTTCAAAGGACAGTAACTGGGATGGGGGGGGGGTGTAGGGGAGGACATGATAACAAGCTAAAAGAAAAGGAAGAAATGTTTCACAACTTAAAGGTGCTGAACTCAATTTTAAGTCCAGAAGGCTGTAAAGTGCCTAGTCTGCAGATGAGACATTGTTCCTCCAGTTTGCACTGTGATTCACTGGAACACTGCGGCATGCCGAGGACAGACATACGAACAGGACATTGTGTTAAAATGGCCGGCTATGGGAAGGTCAGGTCCTGCTTGCACAAGGCCGAAGGTGTTTCCTTTCTCCAATGTAGAGTAGGTCACATTGGGTGCAGCAAATACAAGACACAAGGTTGAAGGTGGTACAGGTGAAATGCTGCTTCACCTGGAAAGATTGTTTAGGGCCTTGGATGGTGAGCAAGGAAGTGGCGAAGGGGCAGATGTTGTATCTTCTGCAATTAAATGGGAAAGGGCAGTGGAGAGGTGGGGTGCTATTGGTGGCTGTGGAATGGACAAGACTGTCCCGGATGGAACAATCCCTGCGAAATGCAGATGGGGGAAGTGAGGGGAAAATGAGTCTGGTGGTGGCGTTCTGCTAGAGATGTCTGAAATGGTGGAGAATGAACATTTGAATGCAGAGGCTGGTGGGATGAAAAGTGAGGAGTAGGGGAACCCGGTCATGCTGTTGCGAGTGATGGCAAGGGGCAAAGGCGGAAGTACAAGTGATAGGTCCAGTGCGGTTGAGGGCTCTGTCAACCACAGTGGGTGGGAGACCACGGTCATGGAAGTTTTGTAGACTGGGCGTGCATGTCAATAGAAAATCTTTATTTCACACACATTAACAGTCACAAAGTACAATTTATAGAACTAAATGCAGAAATCCAGTTGTACGCAATTTAAAATTAACTAACCTTGAAACGACTTGTAAAAAGTTCAAGTTTAGGAATGAGCTCTCTGTTATAATAGAGACCTTGCAGGGCTGTTAAGCATTTTAGCCTCACTTCCCCTTGCTGAAAAATAAAGCACATTACTAAGTATCACTTTGAAGAACTGACTGGGGAGTTAGTGTAGGAGGGAAGGCCTTTCTTCAACACACCAGAAAATCAATAAAAGATTTTCTATAAAATAATGCATACCACTCCCACTGACATTCCACAGAATGCAGAATTCTGGAAATGAATCATGAAACTGGTAACATTTGGTACATAAATACACTTTTTGTTCCACACAATGTGCAAAATAATTTACAGAAAAAGTCAAACAAGTTTCAGTGTTTCATACATAATTGTACAACAAACATTTAGAAAATAATAGTTTTAAATTACCTTATCATGCATGGTCCACCCTACGTACTTCAAATAACTGTCATTTAAGAAGGCATCACTGTACATTTTCATCCATACCCCAATCTCTTCGATGCAGACTGCTCTTATCTCAGAGATTGCATCACTGTAGGAGAAACAAAACAGCGCAATACAGATTAAATAATCCGACACAAAAGGCAAAAATTTTCTTGCGATAATTCAAGCCATGCAAAAGTGCAAGACACCTTGAAGCTCTTACCGATATCGATGTACAAACACCCCTTTAAAAATGGCATTCATCATATTTTCAATTTCATCCTGATTTTCTTGAAGCTGGGAAGGGAAACGATAAAATGAAGTAAGTTCTAGATTAATCTTGAACTAGTTTACACCCGTAGAGAGAGACTTAATGTTTTCAGCACTACTAATCCAAGGCAAAGTAATATGTAAAAATCTGCATCTCTTCGCAAGTGTTTCATTTCTTTTAGTTTCTGTTCAAATCCATTTGTACATTGACAAAATTTGTCACGAAACAACACCTCTATAAGGTATTACAGAATGAAATTTAAATAAGAGTGGTTGCTTGATAAAAGTTCCTTGATATAATTAAGAGTAGTGACTTGGTACAGTCAAATAATACAACTGCCAATTGGTTTACTGCAAAAAAAGACCCATCAATAGTGTCTAGTTTACAATCAATGAAGAACCATATGTTAAAAAAGTAAAAATGACTAACAAGCTACATTGGAATGTGATAGCTGGTTAAGAAAATTTTTTGAAAATTCTTTACAAGCTTTTAAAATGTGCTTTCTAGTATCCAGAAGGCGATCAGCAATTTTAAAAAACCCTCAATGACTGATTACATATAGGATCGTGGCAATTTGTAGGCAGTGCAGCTTCGAGAACTAATTATTGCAATAAAAATTTACACAAACACAAGTTGCCCCGAACATAACTTGAACTTAAAATTTCAAATCTTTTGTGCTGTGTTTATCAATTTTGGGAAAAATGTGTTGTTAAGGACAGTGCAACAGAACAGAACCATAGGAACACTGAAACAAGAGCAGGCTTTAGCAAATCCACCAGTCAATTAAGTTGTTGCTCATCTGTGACCAAGTTCTATATACTTACCTTTGTCAACATTCCTCAATACATTTCGTTAACAGGAATTCATAAATCATTAGCAGGACCTGTCATTTTCTAAGAGAATTCCAAAATTCTACAGCATGTAGAAGCTTTTCTGAATTTCACTCCTGAAAGGTCTAGCTCTTTTCGCATTTTCCCACACTATACTCTATTTGCCAACTTTTTGCCCACTTACTCAACCTATCATTTTCACTCAAACTTGTGTTCAACCCCCTTTACCTACTTTTTGTCATCTTCCAATCAAGCTACAGTGCCTCTACTTCCATCCTCTAAAACAGCAATATATATTGTACACAGATGTGGTCTCAGCACTGACCCCTGTGGAACCCTACTGGTCACCAACTTGAAAAAAAACCTTCTTATCCACAATTACTGTTCCCTGCCCATTAGCCAATTCTCAAACCATGCCAATATACTTACTTCCAACACCATGAACTCTTATGTTATGACCTAACCTTTTGAGAGCTACCTTGTCAAATGTCTTTATTCAAACCACCCATGACTTCTAAATTACAGAGAATGCAACTCAATTTGTGTGATCTCCTCCCCCATGATTTAACCCATGCAGTACAGGTTGCATTCCAGTAAACCTCGAGATCTAGTGTACAAATACCAGAGTTGAAAATAAAGGTGAAATTTAGCTCCATGCCCCCAAAAAGAACTCATTCACAGATACAAAGGAAAGTGCAAGCCAGGCTAAATATAACATTAAAACAAAATCTAATGTCAGGTGTCTTCTTCTTAACAGAGTCCACCCATTGACCAAAATATATGAATAGTTAATTTCGGAAATTGGAAGTTCTATTTCCACTGTAGCTCCTTGCAAGTTGTAGTTTATCTGCTTTAACAAGTGATTCTTTTGCATTAGCTATTTTCAACAGATAAAATGCATAAAAAATATATATTTCGAGAAGATAAAGTCTACCTGCACACATTGCTTTGACCACAATTTACGAAGCATCTGAGTTATGAGTACTTACATTAGGGATTGGCAAAGTGCAGTCAACACTTCATTTGGTGAACAACATACTTCACTATGTTGTTCCTTAAAATTTTAAAGCCTGTCAGTCTGTTAATTAAAATAGTAACTTGGGCAAGACATCAAGAAAGCGAAACTGCCTTGTGTTACTATATTTGAAAGCAAATGGATAAAGTGGCGGGGGCACATTTGGGAGGCTAGAGTTATGCTACAGCAACTGAGTTTAATACTGCACGTGTCTGTGATGTTTGTTGACAGCTCCTGCTTACACTGCAGACTACCAAGATACAGCTGCAAAACTATACACATGCATGCATCAATGTAGCTACAGCTCTATTTCTTGAAGTAGATGTGTGATCATTTGCTTTGTAACATTACAAAAGATTCCACAAGGTTTTAAAAGTTGTTGCGCAACAGGACTTTTAAAATTTATTTCTGAATCCTTGAGGAACTCCTAATCATGCAAGAATGCCTCTTTGACAGGAGGATTAAAATATAACAATTCTTAAAATAATTATTGCAGTTCAATAAAAACAATGTCATTGACAAGAGTAAATATAAATGCAAACCACTAAAATAATAACCACTGTGCAATGAAATTGAGTAAAAAGTAATAATAAATGTACAGCAAACAAATTAATCTTTAGGCAATTTCCAAGTGAAACTAGTTGTTAATTTAACTTTTTTCTTTGTTTCATATTCCTAATTTAAATAAATAATATTTAATTGAATTAACCACATTTTATATTGTATGGCTTAATTATTTATGGTTGTTTACCAACAGATTTTTCTAACTATGACACAGGCTTTGAAGAAAGATTCACTTCAGCACCTCAATGATCAACACATTAAAAATACAATCCACACAACACAGAATAGCAGAAAATGAAAAAAGGCTAATGAAGGAAATCTGATAAATTCAGTTACTTTCTTTCAATTGCAACAAGCAAGTAGTCATGTTGCGACACTGACATTTCACTGACCTCTTTTCTTTTCTGTAATAGGAGCTCCAACCTGTCATTGGCTCTTTTGCCAATAATTTTATTTCTTTCAGTTTCATATTGCCGCTGAGTATTGTCCATGTTAATACTTAAATTTAACGCCACATTTACTAGGGCTGTCATCAGCTTCATAGCTATAAAAAGAAATGGCTGGACAGTTTAATTACATATACAAATACTGAATAATTCACTTTATTTGCAACTAAAATGAAACGTGCTTTCCTAAAACACATGAAATCTACAATAAAATATTTAAATAGTTTTGTTTTTATAGTCTTTTCTTTACAAGAGTTCTAACTTCAATAGTAAAATCGTCAGAATTGAGAGAACCACTTCGGTCAAGTTCTGACATATCAGCAGAAGAACAAGCTGCTATTTTAGACTTCTGAGCTGCAGACTATGTAAATCATGACTTGATTTTATCGACTTGAGGTTGAGAAACCTAAATGAAAGTAAACACGGGACCAAAATTAACAATAGTGGAAGAAATGTACTAAATTAGACTGATGTTATCATTTGGAGTTTTAAAAGGCTTGGATTACAGAGAGGAGCGAAAATACCAATGAAAACTATTGTGCAGCTTTGAGACTTGGCAAAGAATGAAATAAGAGCAAGGAACTTAATATCAGGTGAAATACTAGAAGGAGACCAGTTTGCCAAAGTTCTCTGCACTTCAATTTATTACTCTTTCAGATCAATCCAACAATTTCCAATTTATAAGCTATGAGTTTGTCTAAAACTTACCAGATTCATGCATATAACTCACCATCGCTATATTTCGTTTCTCAATATTAAGAACTCACTCTTCACCTTCCAGTCAAAGAAAATCTAATACCAGATAGCAAATTTAAACCCATTTAAACAATTCACAGGACCATGGCCCAAAAGTGCTTTTTTGTTTCTCATGGGGAAAAAGACACTCAATTAAGGCACTGGCATCTCAACAGACAACAAACACAATTGCACCCTTAGATGCACAAGCAGTGAGTCAAATATTTTGAAAAATAAACTATACATTTTCACATGCACAAAGGGAAAACAAAAGTATTGCAGAAACAGAAACCTTACAAGTCACTTGTATTGTAAAAAGTCAACTCTTTAATATTAAACGTCTGCACACTGATAAAATGTCATCAAGTACAGGTTGGGTACCCTTTATCTGTGCATCCAAGACCCAAAAAGACCTGGAGACCAAGGTCTTTACAAAAATGAACCCAAACAAACCTGCAGACACGCTGAATTCTAGTCTTAGGAAAAAAAAACTTTGTTTTTAAGTCCATTTGGGTGAAGCAAAGTTCTTTTCCCCCAAAGGAACTGAACAAACTTGTTGATACACTGAGTTTGCACTTGTGGGAGAAAAAATCTTGGCTTTTGGGTCAATTCATGTCTGTTCAGGCCAACTGAATTTTTTTCCAAAGGGCCCAAACAGAGCTAAGTGGTAGGTGTAGCAACAAATGCAGACAAAGAATAATAAGTGCAGAGGTGATGAGAAATGTTTATCAAAAACCTGGTAGTATCTGTAAAGATGATGTGAACCCACTGGCTAACATGCGTTCAAAGGTTAAATTAATATTTTGCTGTTGGTTGTGAGATGATTAGTAAAAGATCCTAGAGGGAAAGGAAAGCGTGTCCGAAAATATCCTTCATTAAAAATAACTGGTCCTGAGATTTACAAAATAAGAATTTCCGACCAGTATACGATTTTAATTGTAGGCAGAAAATGGAAAACCTAAAAGCAATATGTAACTTGAAGGAAACAATTTCTGTACTTTGAAGTGGATATCTCACCTGCCAATGTGCTGGTGTGTCTGAATGCTCGAACCTGGGAGTCTGACAACCCAGTTAACAGTGAAATAACAGTGTCCATCATATATTCATCATATATGATACTGTACTGACACTGCCTCACAAGCACAGAGATGAATTCACAGAAACTAGACTTGAATTTTTTCCATTGTGGACCAGGCATTGTAAGCGGGTAATCACCACTGTCCTGAAGTATAAGAAAGTTTATTAAATGTGATTAGAACAAATAAAGACAGATAGATCATTCAAAGATAATTTGGTGCAGAATTGCAGATCACAAATTCAAACAAAATAGCTTCTTAAACCAAACATACAAAAATGCAAATATATTCTGCATTCTTTTAAGAAAGAAAATAGGTACCTAATCTGATGACTGTTGAGGTTTAGTTTGGTGGTTGGAATTTTTCTCTCAAAAAGTATGCTTTAATTTGATCCCCAGTTTTCTTTAAAGTTACAGTGTGCTCAGTATTCGCGTGAGTTCAAAATCTGGTTCAATTTAGTTTCTTTCTGTCAAAATAGTTTTTAGATTTGTAAGACTGCTGTGGCGCAGTACCTCTGCGTCAGAAAGTCTAGGTAAAAGTCCCACCTATGCTGGCAGCGTGTCAAAACTGTAATGCTGGCAACTCCCCAAGAATATTTTCTGATTTGTTCTGCTGGTTGGCCAGCATTTATTGCCCAGAGGGTAGTTAAGAGTCAACTACATTGCTGTTGGTCTGGAATCACATGTCGGCCTGACCAGGCAAGGATGGCAGTTTCCTTCCCTGAAGGACGTAAGCGAACCAGATGAGTTTTACCGACCATCAACAATAGATTCATGATCATCGGTGCCAAATAGCTTAGTTATGTCTTGCGTACAAAAACTAACCCAGCCAATTATCGCCCATTAACCTACCCACAATCATCATGGCAGACTAGTACAAGAGGTAAAGTCACATGGTATCAGGGGTATGCTGGCAGATAAGGGAGGAAAAAAGGCCTTTAGCATGCTTGCCTTTATTGGAAGGGGCATTGAGTACAATGATAGGCAAGTTACGCTGCAGCTTTATAGAACATTAATTAGGTCACACTTGGAATATTGCATACAGTTCTGGTCTCCACACTACCAGAAGAGCATGGATGCTTTGGAGAGGGTACAGAAAACGTTTACCAGGATGCTGCCTAGTATGGGGCATTTTAGATATGAAGAAAGGTTGGATAGACTGGGTGTATTTTCACTGGGACGCAGGAGGTTGAGGGGGTACCCTGAAAGAAGTTTAAAAAATTGTGAATGGCATGGATAGAGTGGGAAGTATGAGGCTTTCTCCCAGGGTGGAGGGATCAAGGTTCAAGATGAGGTGGTGGGGGTGCGGTGTAGAGTTTACAAGAGATGTGCTAGTCACATTTTTCACACAATGGGTGGAGAGTACCTGGAACGCACTGCCACAGGCAGTAATGGAAGCAGACACAATAGCAGCATTCAAGAAGGACCTGGACAAATACATGATTAGGAAGGGAACAGAGGGATCCAGATCCTGTAAGTGAAGACAGTTTTAGTATGGAAGGGCAAAACGCATCAGTGCAGGCTTAGAGGGCCAAATGGTCTGTTCCTGTACTGTATTGTTCTTTGTTCATCAGTAAAGTTATGGGTGAGGTCACCAACAATGCTAACTATGCAGCATTTGCTCAGCAATAACCTGCAGGAACACTGAGCTCCACACTTCATTACAGCCTTGGTTCACACATGGCCAAAACAGGTGAATTCTATGGGTGAGGTGAGAGTCACTGTCCTTAATAGTAAGGCTGCATTTGACCAGGTGTAGCATCAAGGAACTTTAGCAAAACTAGCATCAATGGGAATAAAAAGGGAAAAGCCTGCGCTAATTTGAATCATATATGGCACAAAAGACAATGCTCATGACTATTGAAGGTCAGTCATCTCAGCTCCAGGACATCTCTGCAGGAGTTCCTCATGGTAGTGCCCTAGGCCCAACCACCCTCAGCTGCTGCAATGATCTTCCCTCCACCATAAGGTCATAAGTGGGATGTTTGCCGACGACTGCACAATGTTGAGCACCATTCGCGACTCCTCAGATACTGAAGCAGTCCATATTCAAATGTAATAAGATCTGGACAATATCCAGGTTTGGGCTGACAAGGGGCATAGAACATTCACACCACACAAGTATTGGGCAATCTCCAGCAAAAGAGAATGTAATCATGGCATTTTGACATTCAATGGCATCAGCATCATGGAATCCCCACTGTCAACATCCTGGGAGTTACCATCGAACAGAAAGTGAACTTTATATTGGAGGAATCATATAAATACTGCAACTACGAAAGCAAATCAGAGACGAGGAATACTACAGTAATTCACCTCCAGACTCCCCAAAGCCTGTACACCATCTACAAGGCACAAATCAGGGATGTGATGGAACAATCCCCACTTGCTTGGATGAGTGCAGGTCCAACAACACTCAGGAAGTTTGACATTATCCGGGACAAAGCTCCTTGATTGACACTGCATCTCCAAACATTTGCTCCTTTCACCACCGACTCTCAGTATCTGTAGTGTGCATCATCTACAAATTGCACAGCAGAAATTCAAAGATCCTTAGATAACACCTTCCAAGCTAACAGCCACAACCATCCAAAAGGCCAAGGACAGCAGATATATGGCAACACTGCCTGTAAGCTCCCTTTCCAGCCACTCTCCATCCTAAATTGGAAATAGACCACCATTCATTCAGTGTTGCACGGTCAAACTCCTGGAATTCTCTCCCTAATGGTATTGAGGATAGAACATAGAACAGTACAGGCCCTTCGGCCCACGATGTTGTGCCAAACGTTTACCCTAAACCTAAGGTCTATCTAACCTCCACCTCTACCTTATACTATCATCCATATGCCTATCTAATAGCCGCTTAAATGCTCCTAACGAGGCCGACTCCACTACCCGCTCCGGCAACGCATTCCACGCCCCAACCACTCTCTGAGTAAAGAACCTACCTCTGATGTCTCCCCTATATCTACCTCCACTCACTTTAAAACTATGCCCCCTCGTAATAGCTACCTCCATCCTAGGAAAAAGTCTCTGGCTGCCCACTCTATCTATACCTCTGATGTACCTACTCCAAATGGACTGCAGCAATTCAAAGCAGCAGTTCAACACAAACTTCTCAAGGAAATCCTGGGATGAGCAATAAATGCTGATCATTCAGCAACAGCCCAAATTCCAAACATTAACCTAAAAATACCCAACCAGGTTTAGTAATGCTTGACTTTGATGTGAAGGAAGATCTTGTGGCAGCGGGAGTGTCCCTTCTGGGCCAGAAGATCCAGGTTCCTGTCTCACGCGCCCCAGAGGCTTGTCACAAACATGTCTGAACAGACTGATTAAAATACTTAGGATGTGTCTATGGGCTCCTGTGGCACGTTGCCCTATCCTGTCCTAGAAAGTCGCACCAGTGTGAGAGGAGTGCCATAACATGTCTTAACTAGTTGGTTAAAAATAATTTACTATTTCTTACTTAGATGTGTACATAAAGAACAGGCAGCTAATATGGTTGGGGGATTGTTTAGAATAAAGATGTAAAGCTATGGCAAGCAATAACCAGTCTCCAAAGCTTTCCAGTCTGTATGTTTATTCACCATTGGGTTTGGAGTTCCACAAACAGTTGCTAGGTCCTCATTAAATATTTTGTTTAATGACAATCTTGTACTCATTTCAGCATTCACTGAAACTGTACCATTCGAAGCACCAAAATAATTACATGATTGACAATAATTAATTAATAATAAAATCTGAATAATTCAATGTTACTGGAGGGGTGAAGCTTCTATGGTTTTATTTTTCTTTTAGTTTTATCTGCTTAGTTCAAATAAAAACTTCAGTAACACAGCAGAAATCCACTTCAACCTTTTAGAAAATAAACAATACCAAGCAGATGGCATTTTTAAATAAATGAAATTTGCAATGACTGCAACAATAACTTCAAACGTTGATGAATATTTAAAACTGGATCTGATTTGAACTTTGCCAGAACCAAATATACTGAACATTCGACACAAGATGGAAAATGTAATAATAGTAGTGAGCTCAGTTACTTATTATTCTGAAAGAAAATTTTCAACTTTTTTCTGTCCTTAAAATAACATGAAAATTTACTATTGGGATAGTTTAAGTTAGTTAACAAATCATCCAGTTTGAAAACTCGACCCGAAACTGGTTTCACTATCCCCAGATGCTGCCTGCAATATGTAGCTTTTGCATCTGCAGCTTCTTTTTTAACTCTTCCCAAGATCCCAAATATATATTAAAAATTGCAAAAATAAAGATGCCATGTTTAGGTCGAAGGTTCAAGAACCTGAAATTTAACACTGTTTCTTCAGCCCCAGAAACCACCAAACATGCGAAAAGATTCCAGCACTTAGTTTCTATTTCCAATATTTGCTTTTTGAAAATGATTGTATTTAAAATTACCTCATCAAATTCTTCTGTCATCTTACGAATTATCTCAGAATTTTGCATGTGACGGAACATCTCAGCAGTTACTACACCTGCCGATCAAGAACAGTCAATGGAATGAATGCAAGACAGAGCATAAAAAATAGGGGAAAAAAAAAGGAAAAAAAAATTCTGGTTCCTGTGCACACAAACATCCCACAATGTGAGCCTGGCTGACAGTCTTAAGATTCTACTTTCATTCTCTGGCTCACTCCTCGTGGCAAAACCATGACTGATCAGAGTCAGAGTCAATCTGGCTGGTGTAAATTTAAACAAGGATTGGCAAATAGCAACCAATCATCAGCTAACCGGTGCATTCTTCAGGGAAACAAGTCTACCAGAGTTCATTTTCCAGCCGATCATCATGGTCTTCTCAGAGCACTAAAACATTGTTTTTCTTTACATTGGAATTCTGCAAATTATCTTGCCAAGTCTTGCAGCTCGTGCAAAATGAAAAGTTTAACAAATTGTGAGGTTAATTATTAAACTTTGAATTGTTGCTAGGGAACTACACTATCAAGATTTCTGGAAATACTAGGACAACAACTTACCTTTGCAGCCTGAACACTGAATAAAAAAATTTATGAGATCCAGAAGTGCAGTATCCCGGTCATGCTTGTAGGATTCAATCCAGTCGTCTACAACAGTCTACAAAGCAGAACAGAAAGGCAACTAATCAGGGGTACAAAAATACTGTTGAAAAAATAACTGGCTTACACCTCAGAATTATGCTATTCTTACTAAAAAGGCAAAAAACTGAGAGGTGAGAGGTAACACGCAAGATTGATGGGGTGAGATAGGATGAAATGATGGAAAAATAGGAAAACAAAAGAGAGAGGATTAGCATGAGAGCACTTGGAAGGGAGGAGCCAAAGCAGTACAATGGTTTTAATATTATGCAAGCCTGGCAATGCCAGAATGTTTCTGAATCAATTCATGCTACAAAATATGCCAAAGGTCACCATTATTGTAATGAAAGGTTACTGTGTTCATTATCACTCTCGCGAACTTGTCAACACAGTACAAAAAAAAATTGCAAATAGCTCATTAAAACCCAGGAGTTACAGCTCCTTGCAGCATCACAGTTTGGTATTTGTACATAAAGTGGCAAGTAAAACAGACACATGCTGCAGCCGCCTCTTTGTACGGTTGTCTTACTCATTTGGTTTACAACACGAACAACAATGATGTTTGATATCAAGCAATATCAAGATAGTTCCATTAATTTTATGTGGAGTCTTGCTCCTGCAATGGAAAACAATTTATTTTCTCAATCACTCCTTCTAATAAACTTTACCTGCATTGCACTCTTGCCCAATTTCACAACTTCAAATAGCATCATGTTTTCCACTCCTCCATTCTGTTGGTGATGTCCATTCATCCGGTTCATGCCTGTTGCAGATTTTCCACCATTTCCACTTTTTCCTTTCTCTCCAGAAACTTTTTTTACTTTTTTACTGGACTAAAAATGAAATAAATAAGATTTTTACACAATATATTTTACAACATGAAAGAAATGTAATTTTATAATTCGTGATATGTTCATGCAAAATTACATGGTAAAACATTGTTGCATCCTTCAAAGAAAAGTTGCTATTACTGGGATCTCCATTGTTTGGTTTAAAAAAAAATACACATACCCCTAACCTGGTAGAACTAAAGCATGACTAACTCTGCATTCTTTGATTGGAACTTATGCACAGATTTTAGTTACAGGTGGCAGCTTCATCCATCTGGGATGTTAACAGTTCAGTATTGAGCAGTGAAAGGATTTTTGATGTCACAATGATGATGAGTTTGAATATCTTTTATTTATTTCAAGAATTCCTCAAGAATCGTTTATGAGGAGGCATCAGTGGGAGACAGTCACTCTGGTTTCATTTAGCACCGTTCAACCTGCAATGTCTGTCACATAAACCCAAATAGGGATTCACACAAACAACATTCCAACGTATTCAGCCATGTGCGTGCTTACGCATTTTCATCCAGACAAATACTTCCAGCAGCATTTTCCCAGTACTAAAGACAATCAGATTCCTTGTTGATTTATCCCCTCTGAATCCAGTGTCTGAGGCCAACTACAGTTCATTCTTACCACCTCTTCCCCAAACACATTGGCACTACATTCCCTTGATGTAGCTACACCACTGGTACAGGAGTGAGCCATTCAGCCTGTTGAGCTCTCTCAATCATGACTATGGCTGATCTAACACCTCAGTGTCTTTTATCCATGATATCCCCATGACCTTTCATACCATTAGTAACTAGAAATGTATAAATCGCAACTTTAAACACTCAAATACAGCACAACATCAGCACGGGCTATTGAGACTGAGAGATTTGAATCAAGGAATAGAGAGTTTGCAAATTTGTGAATAAATCAGTGGGTCAGGTTTGGGAAGAAGCAGTTAGCAGCAAACTGTCAACATTCATTCATTGTTGATAACTCTCTGGAACTGACAACAACTTCAGGATATCGGGCACACATCGGTTATGGCAATATCCTAAGAATGCTGTCTGTGCTTCAGGACTTTGGCACAAGATGCCCATCCTTTGCCACTGACGACAAAATCTCACCACATTCAGTGAGTATTCAAGTTTACAAATAACACAAAGCAGGCACAGTGAGCTTTACACTACTGAAGGACACAGGAATGAAAACTTCCAGCAGTTACACAGAGATTTAATCACATCCCTTCAGTTCAGTTTTAAATGCCAAACCTCAGCAAAGATATGTTGACCTTGGAATTAGTACAGTGCAGATTTTCCAGAATTATATTACTCAAGATGTTTGGGTGCTTTAGGTTCAGTCTGCAAGGTTTAGGAGAAATAGTCATCACATTTATAGAATACAATGAAATTATTTTCCCAGTTTCACAATGCTTTTCTACGTCTATTACATATGCAAAAGTAGAATTTAAAATACAAATGCAGAACAGAAATAAGAGTTGCCATGGGTACTCTCATGACAATGCTTTCTTTGGGATATATGGAACCTTGTCTGCTCCAGTCCTATTAAGGCCTCCTCTCTCATCTCTTTTCCATGACATTGATGACCACATTAGTGACATTTGCCATCCTTACACTGAGCTGGAAACTTTAATCAACACAGGTCCCAACCTTCATTCTTCTTTCAATTCCCATGGTCCACCTTGGACTCTTCCTGTCCATTCCGTGACAGAGGATTATCAATCGGTATTTACTACAAGCTTGTTGACTCTGACAAATACCTTGACTGTGTTTCCATCTCACTTCAAGAACTTTCTTCTGTACTCCCAGTTTTTGTTTCTCAATTGCACCTATTCAAATACTGCAACCTTCCGCACATGCTTTTGGTACGTTTTGCTTATTTCTCAATCAACTACCACCCCACTTAGGGTTGGTCAGGGCCCTCAATCCAGTCTGTTCTTGGTCATGTGCCTCTTCTCTCCTTGCTTCCCTCCCTCCAAGACCCACGATATTGGCCTCTTGTTCTCACTTTTCCACCCATGATCATCATTAATCATCTGTCATTTCCACCATCCTCAGCATTATTTCCCCAAAAGATGTCTCCTTCCTTTCCCTTTAAATATTCTGAAAGGACTGTTCCCTCTTCAATATCCTGGCCCAATCACAGAAACTCTCCAGGTCCCCACCCTTTTCTGTAGCATCTTTCCATGAGGGCAGCAAGTATAACATCTTCTGTCATTCCCCTTCTCATTGTCTAAAACTCTAAAGACTCATTCCAACTGAAATGTATAGTTCTGTCAACTTATATGCTTCATTCACTGCACATGATGTGGGCTCCTCTACATTGGGGAGATGAAACACAGATGGAGATCGCTGTGCGAACACCATTGTTCAGTCCACAATGAAAAAAAGGTTATTATCTGTTGTCATTTTTATTCTGCATGTTGCTCCAACTCAGATTTCACAAAATCTTGGACTGATGAAAACACAGAAGGCGTGTCATGATTGTGCCAGTTCTGTGGTCTTTCCTATCTTTTCCAGGTAGCTCTTCTATTTTTGCTTCAGCTAATTATCCAAATATCTTTGGAAGGCCTCAAGTGAACCCACTACCACCAGACCTTGAGAAGAGTATTCTGATTCCCATCATGCACTGTCATCAGTGGTTCCTTTCAGTGTCCACTGGCTGACCATCCATGATCTGCCAACAAGAACAGTTTTTCCACTGTCAATTCTGCCCAAATCTCTCTCAATTTTGAAAACAAACACTCACCAGTATTCTCGGTTCCCAGTCACTCAGCCAAGTTCATACCCATGCTGTTATCATCCATTCTATTTCATGGACTTCAACTTCGCTGACTTGCCAGTTTTATGGCACTTCTTCAACCAAAAAACCCTCAACCACAAAACCCTGATCGAACATCTTATTCAAAGATGAGTTAAACACAATGTTCTACTGGTACCTCTGTTCTGGCTTCCTTAATTAGTCCACTATCCTTGTGACTGTTAATATTGTCCAAAACTATGCTATGCTTTCTAAAAGCTTTCCCAGAACTTTGATAAAAATGGCTGGACTGCATTTGCTGGGTACAGTTTGACAATCTTTCCAGACGCTGGTATAACATTTGCAGTCATCTCCAACTCTGGGACCTTTGAATCTCAGGAAAATTGACAATTATGGTCCGTGCCTCAGCAACTTACATCTTTATATTTCTCAGTATCCATAAAAGTAATTCATCAGTCCCTGGTGACTTATCAGCTTTAAGCACAATGACCCTATCCAACAAAAAAACCAAAAGAACTGTGGAACGCTAGAAATCTGAAACAAAAACAGAAATTGCTGGATAATGTCAGCATGTCAGGCATCATCTGTACAGAGTCTTAGAGTCATACAGCACGGAAAGAGACCCTTCGGTCGAAATAGTCCATGCCGAACATAATCCCAAACTAAACTAGTTCCACCTGCCTGCTCCTGGCCCATATCCCTCCAAATCTTTCCTATTCCTGCCCTTGTCCAAATGTCTTTTAAACATTACAATTGTGCCTACATCCACCACTTCCTGAGGAAGCTCATTCTACAGATGAATCACTCTCTGTGTAAAATATTTGCCCCCATGTCTTTTTTAAATCTCTGTCCTCTCACCTTAAAAATGTGCCCCCTAGTCTTGAAATCCCCCACTCTGGAGGGGTGGGGTGGGGTGGGGGGGGAAACAACCATCAACCTTATCGATACCCCTCATGATTTAATAAGCTTCTATACGGTCACCTCTTAACCTCCTACGCTCTAGTGAAAAAGGTCCCAGCCTATCCAGCCTTCCTTTACAACTCAAACCTTCCATACCTGGCAACATGTTCCTCCAGCTTCACACGGTGTTTTCTCATTATCAACATCCTGGTTAATCTCTTTTGAGCCCTCTCCAACTTAATAACATCCGCCCTCTAAGTGGGCAACCAGAACTGTACACAGTACTCGAGAACATGCCTCAGCAATATCCTGTGCAACCTCACCATGACTTCCCAATACCTATACTCAAAGAATGAGCAATGAAGGTAAGCATGCTAAATGCCTTTTTAACCACCCTGTCTACATTTGATGCAAACTTCAAAGAATCAAAGTTACTGTTTTTGGGTCCTGTAACCCTCCTTCAGAGTTTATCCAACATCTGAGTTCTTAGGTCATAAACTGTCTCAACGACATCCTCTTTCACGATGACTTGGCCTGCAATTTCTTCCTTGGTAAAGGCAGATACAGAACATTCATCTTGTATCACAGCTATGCCTCTGCTTGCAAGCATAAATGCTCTTTTCAGACCCTCACAGCTCCAATCCTAGTTTTGCCAAGTAATTACTATCTACATACCTTAACAAGGCTGTTGGATTCAGTTTGATGCTCTTTCATTTTATTTCCATTTCCCTTCCTGAATTTTCAAAATTCAGCCTGGTCCTCAGTTGAATTTTCTACCTGACAACAGTCAAATGCACTTATTTTGTTTTTTTCACTCACTCTAACTATAAACAAGGTGTGGAGGTGCCGATGTTGGACTGGGGTAGACAAGGTCAAAAATCACACGACACCAGGCTAGAGTCCAACAGGTTTATTTGAAGACACAAGCTTTCAAAGGCTCATTCCTTCTTCAGGCATCAGTGAAAGGGGTAGCATCAAACACAGAATGTATAAGCAAAAGATCAAAAGTTCACAGAACTGATGCGGTGTTGAAGAAACCTAAGATGGCTGTTAAACTTTTAATCGGTTAAAAAGGATTAATACGCAAATTCCCGAATTTCTTTCAAGTCGCTGCCCCGAGTTAACTAAAGGTTTTATCAGTTCCCTCAGTACACGAGAGGTGACATCCCAGGTTAGACATTGCATTTTAGGTGTGAGGCCTTGTTTAGAATCTGGCTGTGAATCAGACTGGTTTTATTTTGAAAGTAGGAATTTATAAAATACCACATTAACTGTCTACAAATTGTCTGCGTGTGAGTGAGTGAGTCAGTGAGTGAGAGAGAGAGAGTGAGAGAAAAGAGTGTATGTGTGTATGTATATGTGCATGTGTGAGAGCTGATAGTGCGGTGGGGTCACCTGTAATGTGACACGCACCCAAGATTCTGGTCGAGGCCGTCCTCGGCCATCAGCCTCTGCATTGTTGTGTATCCCAAAGTCTTGCAGGACATTTACCCAAACATCCAAGGCCAAATGTCCTTGACTGTCCTCTAAGGCAGATTTCAGAATACAGAACACCGCAGAGTCACCAAGCAGAGGCCGATAGCCACGTGCGGAACCCATGAAGATGGCATCAATCAGGATATTGCATTAACGTCATGCCACAGGTGACCCCACCACACACACACACACACACACACACACACACACACACACACACTCCCTCTCTCTCTCTCTCTTCCACCCCCCCACCCCCGTCCCCCACCCCTTCACATGCATACACACGCATACTCTCTTTCCCTCACACACACAGATTAAATCTATGGGGTGAATTTGCATTTGCAGATTTGTAATTGCAGATGCATTCCAGTTTGTTCAAAAAGCACACAAATCTGTACCATGTACAAGCTGCACGACAGCAACTGACCTAGGCTCCTTTGACAGAATCATCCAAAACTGTGACCTTGACCAACAAGAATGAAAATCCCCTGCAAATATCTGCAAGATACCCTCCATGTTACACACCATCCTGACTTGGAAATAGACTGCACGACAGAAATTCACCAAAAGTCCTGACACGGTATCTTCCAAATCCACAACCACTTCAACCTACGGCAGCAGACGTGTGGAACTCCACCAACCACCTGCAAGCTGCCCTCTAAGCCACTCACCATCTTGAACTGGAAATATATCACTGTTCCTTCAGTGTCACTGGATCAAAATCCTGGAACTCTCTCCCTAATAAACCTACTGCACATGAGTTGCAGCAGTTCAAGAGGCAGCTCATCACCACGGGCAACTATAGACGGGTATTAAATGTTCACCCGGCCAACGATGCCTGCATCCCATAAGTGAATATAAAATAAAATTCCTTCACTGCCGCTGGTTCAAAATCCTGGAACTCTCTTCCTAACAGCTGTGAGCGTACCTACATCTCAAGGACTTCAGAGTACTCTTGCAGGTAGCCCTGACATTGTGGAATTACCACATCTATAAACAGGCTAGGCACAAGATACTTAACCAAGCAGATATGTTGCAGCGGTGACAGCTGCAACAACTTAATTACGCCATACTACCATTAGATGCAAGAGCAAAAATAGTCCATTTAGCCCATAGTCAGCTCCACCTCAACAGCCCTCTTTCATAAAGAAATCCACAGATTCACAACCCCCGGAAAAGAAAGTCCCCCTCACTGCCACCTTAAATATGCGACCCCCGTATTCTAAGATTATGCGCACTGGTCCGAGACTTTCCCACAAGAAGATATAACCTTTCCGCATCTACCCTGTCCAGTCCTTTCAGAATGTTGCACGTTTCAAGGTCATCTCTAATGCTTCTAAATTTCAATGACTACAAGCCCAGCTTATACAATTGCTCCTCATAAGACAGTTCCTCCATACTTGGTATCAGACTTCTGACAACTGCTACAGTGAAATGCTCAAGACACAATATCACCTTTAGACTGGACACCTTACAGCTTTCTAAACTCGGCACAAAATTCAACAATTTTAGACCAGAACCTCAGTCCTGTTTTGTTCATGGGATCAAAAATATATGTATCCCCAATGGCGCAGCAAACAGTTTTACACAAGCAAGAGATGCCAACAGCAGGTGGACTTTAAAAGGACAAGATATGGCATTATACAAATTTTATTCTACAATTTCGCAAAAAATCTCGTTTACAAATTGACAAAAAAAAATCTTACTGCTTTTTACCTTGGTTGGATTATAAGATTTTCCATCAAAGTCTTCAAAATCAGTATCAGAGGAGAAAGGTGTTTCAGTCTCCCTGTGAAGGAAGTTAAATTAATTATTAGAATTGAGTTGATCCTTACAAACAAGAATTTAATTTACTAGTTAAAATTTGGCAACATAAGAAAACTAATAATAACAAATGCATCAGCAATATATATCACCAATAAGTAAATGTTTGATTGTATAAGACCATGTTATATATTAAAAAAAAGCTTAATAAAGATGAATGTTGTGTATAACGTGTAATTATATAAAATAGGACACCAATCCACAGAAAAGAATCTCTAAATCAAAGCATTCCTGCATCCGAGATTCGCTTGAGGTCTGTCTGCTAAGCAGTTTTTATTCACAGGACAAAAAAAAACAACAGGAACAGGACACTCCATGTTTTGAGCCTGCTCCACAATTCATAATGACCATGATTGATCATCCAACTTTTTTTTCTTCATTCATTCATGAGATGAGGGCATTGCTGGCTAGGCAGCATTTATTGCCCATCCCTAATTGCCCAGAGGGCAGTTAACAGTCAACCACATTGTTGTGGGCCTGGAATCACATGTAGGCCAGACCAGGTAAGGATGGCAGTTTACTTCGCTAAAGGGTATTAGTGAGCCAGATGGGTTTTTCCAACAATTGACAACAGATTCATGGTCATCGTTAGACTCTTAATTCCAGATATTTATTGAATTCAAACTCCACCATCTGCCTTGGCGGGATTTGAGCCCGGGTCCTCAGAACATCATCTGGGTCTCTGGATTAACAGTCCAGTGATAATACCACTAGGCCATCACCTCCCCAGTACCCTGTTCCCACTTCCTCCCCATATCTTTTGATCTCTTTAGCTCAAAGAATCTTTTCTAATTCACTGCTTTGGCTTCAATTGCTTTTTGTGGCAGCGAAATCCACAGGTCTACCACTCTCTGGGTGAAGAAATTCCTCCTCATCTCAGTCTTAAATGACCTACAATGTATCCTTAGACTGTGCCAATACAATGTGGAGCTGGAAGAACACAGCATGACCTGATGAAGGGTCTAGGCCAGAAACGTCGAGTCTCCTGCTCCTCTGATGCTGCCTGACCCGCTGTGTTCCTCTAGTCCACACTGTGTTGTCTCTGACTCCAGCATCTGCAGTTCTTGCTATATCCCTAGACTGTGACCCCTGATTCTGGGCAATCCTGTCATCAGAAGCACCTACCCTGCATTTACCCTACCTAGTCCCATTAGAATTTTGCAGGTTTCTATGAGATTCCCTCTCATTTTACTATTCCAGTCAATACAGTGCTAACATATCCTGTCTCTATTCATACTGCAATACTGCCATCCCAGCAATCAATGTAGTAAACTTTGTTGCACTCCCTCCACAGCCAAAACATCCTTCCTCAGATAAGGAGACCAAAACTACACACAATTAATCACACAAACTATTGTTAGATTTCAGAAAGTAGAACATGAAGTTGTTAAGGAAATATGACTTGCTGCAAGTTAAGGCACAGGCAAATGTTAAATCTACATTTACGTGGGCAGGCGACAACTTCAAAGTTTGCAAACAACACAAAACTTGGCAGAATTGTAAACTACAATGAGTACAGTTCAGAATTTTATAAGTACATCGACATTTTGATAGAGTGGACTGATAGGCAGCAGATAAGTTAAATGCAGGGAACTGTGAAATAGTGCACTTCAGTACAAAGAACTTGGAGAGACAGTATAAATAAATAGCACAATTCTGAAGTGTGCATAGGAGCACAGACACCTGGGGATATTTATGCACATAACTCACAGGTAAAGAGAGCTGCTAATAAAGCATACAGTATTCTGGGTTTCTTAAATAGGAACATAGAGTACAAAAGCAGATAGGTTAAGATAAATTATATAGGGCACTGGTTAGAACTTAGCTGGAGCACTTCATACAGTTCTAGGCACAACAGGACAGGAAGGATGAGAATGAATTGTAGAAGTACAGAAAAAGTTTGAGAATGATTCCAAGGAAAAGACACTTCAACAATGAGGAAAGATTTGAAGAGTTGTGACTGCTTTGCTTGGAGAGGAGAAGGCAAGGCGATTTCAAGGAGTTTTCAAAATCATAAGGGGTTTGGACATTGTGGATAGAGAAACTGTTCCCACTCATAAATGGATTAAGAACCAAGAGTTTTGCAAAAGAAGCAAATGCTAGGTGACCAAAAAAGATTTTCCATGCAGCGAGTGATTAGCATATGGAAGTGTGTTGGAGGCAGGTTCAAATGAAGCACTGAAGGCAGCATAAGATTATGAGCTATACAGATTATCAACTAGGATCTTATTTAATGATCAGAGCAGGTTTGAAGGGCCAAATGACTGATGCCTGATCCTATTCATGTTCTTGTAATATATATTATCTGCCATAGGTCTACAAGACGCATTGTTCAATAATTCATGATAAAGGATTAAGTGCCTTTTAATCCACAC